TCAATTAGCATTATTGAAATATCAATTATTTCTTATGGGAAATAATTTCAGGCACATTTTTAGAACTCAAGAGAAAAAACATTCGTTTAACAAAAAAAAAAAGTAAAAAATTACATAATACAGTAGACTCTATTTAATTCTCACTCAAGGGTGAATAAAAAAAAACAATAAATATTGCAATGTAAAATCAATTTCAATACAATATTTAACAAAAAATAAGCTTTCTTTAATTTTTTAAAATTTTTAATGATCACCTACAATTTCTATAAATTATAATAAATTTTATTATAAATTGAAACTTTATAAAACACACAATTTACATGTGAATAATCTCTACATGGATGTACTTGAAATATTTCATAATAAGAGTTAGTTTTAGTTGGCTCAATTTTAAATTATTAACATTGCAGAAAATAGAGAATTTTTATACACAGAAGTTTGAGATTTTTTTAAATACCATTTGTATAAATATCTTACTGTTGTTGGTTAAGAATTTCAAATCAATACTCAAACGTCATCTCTTAAAAATATTACATTTGTATTTTTTTTTACCACAATAATCATGTCACATAGTAACTGCAATAAAATGCCTAATTTAGAAATATATTTGGAAAATCTGAAAAGGGATGCAATAAATAATTACTAACAATAATGAATTGGTCACAAAATAATTCATTATTGGTAAAATAGTTCACTATTCAAAACTAAGAACGCCACCTAAACTCTCATCTGATTTCATCATTTTCCAATCTTCAAGTTACTGATTTTTTCTACAAAATTGGAAAAATGTCTCTTAACAATGGATGGAAAGAAATATTGGGTTTTTGCTGCATCGAATTTATCAAAAAATAGGCAAATGCTTGAATTTTTGATAAAATTTCAACATTAGTATCAATACAAAATTCTAAGGGAATCAACACGAGTTTGAATAAACCATTATTTTGAAGAATAAATTTTTAATCCAAAAAGAGTCTACTGTACTTTATATAGAAAAATTATAACAAAATATAAAAAATGGAAAGTTTTAAACAAATTACTTGTGTTTAGTTACAATATGAAATAATTTTACAAAAAATAAAATAAAAATCAAAAGATTTTTTTTTGTACGCTACAAAAAAAAAACCCTAAGGGTGTTATTGCACAGAAAGTTTTATTTGACATAAGTACAAAAAGAAAAGAACATTTAAAGATAAATGAGATTGAAAGAAATAATTTTTTTTTTACTTGTGCAACATGATATAGAAAAACAACAATTATTTCCCACAATATGGTTTGAAGACGTATTTATATTTCGTGTATGTTTTTATAAGGTTCGTTAATAAAATCTGAAATCTTTCTACCATTAAAGATTAAAACTAAACATGATCTTCTTTAAAATCTATTTTACTTACTGTTAAACCATTCAATCTTTTTAATCTTACATTTGTTTACAATGATATTATTAATTATCACCAAGAAAACAAATGATTAATATTATTAATGATCAACAAGAACATTTTTAATTTGACATAGAAATTAAAGTTTTTTCCATGTATTTATTAATTTTTTCTTAAAGTTTCATTCAAACTCTGTAGAGAGTTATAGAGAATATTTTGCTTCAGAAAAAATATTAAAAAAATGAGTTAAAATTCTAAACTACAGATACTGTAAATATCTGAAATTAAAAAAAAAGTTAGCAAAGCAACATTACACAATTAATCATCATAAATTTTCAAAGTGTCTGGCACGGTTATATTCTCTGTTGTGCATTCTCTACAACTTTATTAAAATTTTTAGAAAATATTACAAGAATATGTATGTCATGGTTTACTATGCTCTCTTTAATAATGAAACAAGTAGAAAATTATTTTCTTAAAATAAACCATTTTTATAATGCTTTGAAAGTTATATCATTATTAATTTTAAAACTTATTTATATAACTATTAATTTTATAAGTTATATTAATAAATGTAATGATGATAATCCTTATAACTATAAAATAAAAGGTGATTTCAAAATGCTTGGTGAATGGTCCCATAATTGAATTACCATCCTCGTGTAGAATATTTCTTTCAAGCAGATGAAGTGCAAGGTATTTATTGCAATCAATTTTAGGAGTGTTACAGTGAAACTAGGTAGTATGTGAACATAAAGTTTAGCTTCGAATTTGATCAATGAAAATGATTGGTAAATAAGCGGTTTGAAAAAATTATGTTTTGTATCATTTAAATGCTTTAGAGATGGAAAGTAAAATGCCAACAATGACAATCATGATACAGTTTAACTTTAAAACACTGCTTAGTGCAATAGTGAAAGCATTTGTTGATTAATTCCAGCAATTGAACAAATTTATTGCAGCTAATTTCTATTCATTTGAATTTCGTTTCTTTTACTTTATGAGACCATTCATTGATTTTTATAACTACAAAATAATCAGATTTTAATTTATGACACATAATCTACAACATGCACTATATATTGAATTAATCTAAAAGGAATTTAACTTATTTAAATACAATAATAAATTCAATAAAAGAAAAATTATTGCAGTTGTAAAATTTTTAATGTGCGTGATGCAAATATCATACCAATATATTTTTATTGCAATAAAAATAAAATTCTAATTAGTCAAACAAAATTATAAATAAAAATAATTAAAACATAAAAGAAAAACATTCCACTAGATATTTGCAACTCTAACAATCAATAAAAATCTATTCATTCAAATTAGGTATTCTAAAATCACACACATACATGAATCAAAAATAATTTACAAATTCACATTATAATACAATTTTACTTTCTACGAATCAATATAAAATACTGTACATTTCTACAAAGTTTCTACACTGTGTACATGACTTTAAGAGATGATTGGCAACAAAGTGATATTTAATTACATAACCAGTTTTAAATGCTTAAAACAGCATCAACGATCAACAGATATTGCAATTTGACACACAAAACAAAATGGTGAATAGGATGATTGCCACATGCTTTCAATAACTATTTTCATGACCAGCTAAAATATATAGATTTGATGGACTTTTTGGTTCATTTGTAGGTCTGCTTTCAAGAACAACAATTCTGAAAGACAAAAATATTTATGGCTAGTTTAAAAAAGTTCACTAAAATATTGATTAGCATTGTTGTTTTAGAAATTCAAAAATAAATAATTTTTTAAAGAACTTAAACTTACTTTAGGCCAGTCTTCTGTTACATTTGAATAAAATTGTGAATAACATTATGTTGTCAGAATTAGTTTTATTAATTCATTGGCTTTTCCAATTAAGTTTATATTAATACATTTTAACTATGCATACTAGTTATTTATTGTCAATTTTCTTTGTAATATAAGTTATTATTAGTCTTTAATTTAATGTTAAGAGATACTATAGAATCATTGTATCTAATGTAACAGATTTTATTATTCTTCACTACTGAAAACCGTTTTATTAAAGTGGAGGCAAAATAAAAATCGAATGTTTATTTTTTCAAAGTTAAATTTCAAGCCAATGTACTAGCACATAGTACAATGGTGGCATATATAGGTTGATTGAAAAATTAACTACAAAGCTAACTGTTAATAGCAAAGTCCTTAGAAATTTTTATTTTTTATTTTCAACAATGATTCGTTATTATATGTATTATTATATTTCTATAATGATTCCATATTTTTCTACTTAATTATCAGACCACTAAAAGGTATTTTTGTTAGTATTGAGACAGTTTTTGCATGCACGCCTATATATTATGGATATATTAATATTATGGATAAATAGCATATTAAGTGGAATATTTTTCTCTGCAATTTTGATAATAGTTTAAACAATATTTTGATTAATAGATAAATTCAGATAATTACCCATCTGATCCAAGCATCTTAAAAATTCTTGAGTGATCAGTAATTTCTTGAACTATTTCATTATTTTTAAAGTTCCTTCCCTGCATACCATGCTTATGAAATGCTAAAACACTGTCGGTCAAACAAACTAAGGAAATGAGAAAAAAGAATATTTTAAAATATTGTACATGGAAGTAATGGAAACAATTTTTTCTTAAACCCTCCTCTCTCTCTCTCAAATTAGGAAAGACAAATTAATTTTTTCTAAACATTCCTTTTTCTTTTGATCAACTAGAATATTTTTTTGGAAAAAAGATGCTGCTACAATGGTTTGTTTAGAATACTTCACATACTTCAATTAGCATTATTGAAATATTGGAAATTACAAATTATATTAATGAACAGTTAGCTGAACTTCAGACTGAATGCATAAAATATGACATTTTGTGAGCTCATATATGATAGATAGGCATACTGAAGTTCATAAGATTCTCATGTCTGTCGTAATCAGGTAAAAAATTAGATCTTTTCGTGTTAAACTTTTCTGTAGCAAACAAGTAAATGCATGTAATACAAAATTACTAATTTAATTTGCACATGTACTATGATTATAAGAAAAAGCATACCAATTGATTCAATCTTATAATCAAACACAAGTTCTGCAGGCTGCCGACGGCTTGATTTTAGCTTTCCTTGCAGATTTACGACTCTGACTAGATCTAAAAAAGAAATAAGTTTTTTTTAATGAAAGCATAAAAAGTCCTACAACATAAAAATTAAATTATAGCCAAGAAAACACAATTATAATAATAATACAAAAGCATAACATTATGTATGTTTCTATGTATGTATGTAAAAAGTATATTTCAAAAGTAAAATCTGAATATATGTTAAAAACTTATATCATTTAAAACATTTAATTACAGGGTTATTTTGCATACAGTATTTGATTCGTAATGAATCATACAGAATAAACTTGATAGAAAAATTGAAACAAAATTATTGACTCAATTAATTTTGAAATAATGAAGCTGAAAGAAAGGCAAGAAAATGCATAATAATTCGATTTTAATTATATTTTCATAATAAAGAAAATACAAACATTTCAAAATTCACTCATTAAATTTAATACTGTAAAATGACCAAAAAGAAGTATAAAGAACAAAGTTTGTAAAAAATAACAGTTTGTATTATCTCTAGCTGAGAATAGGAAAATCTCTAGTTTAAAGGACAGGTTCACGTTATTGTGTTCTATAAAACTAAACCAAAATAATAAGCATCAACATCTTGTATAACAGAATATGTTTTGTCAATTGTTACTGATGAAAAAAAAAAAAAAAAAANAAAAAAAAAAAAAAAAAACACTGATGAAACAGTAACTCTTTATGATAATTTTTACACCTTTTTGCATGCATTATTGATAACTGCTTTTAAATTGGCCAAAGGAACAGTTTGGATACCAAATATTATATTTTTAAATGAATAAAATTACACATTTTGGCTGTTACTTTCATCTTTAGAGAAATCATTTCAAATCTAATTTCCCAAATGTGACAGTTTTATTAATAATAGCCTCATTTAATAATACCGGTAAGTTCTTTTTGACCTTACTTCCTAGATGTGGCGGTTTTAATAAATAACAGCCTTATCGAGTAAAAAAACTAGTGAGTTCATTTCTGATCTACTTTTCTTGATGTGAATTTTCACTCAAATAACAGTCTTATTGAGAAAAAATACTAATGAAATCATTTCTGACCTTGTTTTCTAATTGTGACGTTTTATAAACCCTTTAACAATCTTAATATTTAAAAAAAAAATAATTTAAAATTGCCTTTTTTTTATTTAAGAAGATTATATATATATGTACAATATATGTATTCATTTTTGGGAATTTTTTAGCTTGAAATTTAAAATTCAATATGTACTCCATTGGTTCATATAGCTTTGACTTCATAAAATATTAAAAAATATTTTCTCATAGTAAACAAACCACATGTATTCACAATGAGCATAAGTAGCTGAGCTAAGAGCACGGAATACATACACCACAAATACATATATTTGGATAGTGCTGACATCTAGTTTAAAATAAACTATCTCCAGTAACATTAAAAATAGTCTGAAGTACCTATCTAGTGTGTAATATAAGGAATAAAAAAAATTCAGACGCAAGAGATGGATATATTCAAACCTTTTTGGTGTATTATATTTGAAAGCTCTAGACCGAAAATAAATACATATGAGAAATAGGAGGCGAAGCTCACCCTATCATTTTGACGGGAGCGAGAAGGAAGAGGTTAACAATAGCTATCATTTAGTAAAAATAAAGCAAAATACTAATTAAAAAAATTGAACTTCATACTTTTACACAGATTAGCAACTTAGGAAAAATAAAAATTTACTATAATAAAACTATACTTACTATCATAACAGACTAAAATGGCATCTTTTTCTAATTGCGTAACATTTATTATCTTCATTGTTTCATGTCGTGGCACAATAGTATCTGTACCTTCCCAGTCATCATTTAACCAATTTTCAGATGAATTCAAGTTGATCATTTCAAGTTCCAAATGATTCCTGTCATATCTAAATTAAAATATAAATGTTAAACAATTTTATGAAAGCCGCTCAATAAATTTTAGGACAATAAAAAAACTTTTTAAAATTACATCAGCAGTTTTTGAAAGAAAAAAATAAAAATTCATTTTGTACAAGTAGCGATGATTTAGAAAGAACATATCATTAATAAAGTTAAGAATAAAAAATAAGTTAATAATGCAAAAAAATGTGAAGAATTTTGCTTCGTTTTACCACTTGAAAAATAAAATAAAAAGCTGATTCAATCCCTTCTTCAAACCATAGAATAAATATCAAATGTAATAAAAAATATACTTGACGTAATATGGTCTTTAATTTACATTCAAAAATTTTTTTTAAAATTAAAAATTTATTAAAAAGAAATTTAATTTCAATACATTTTTTAATCTCGTAACACACTTTTCAATCAATTTCTTAAATTAAAAAAAAAAATGATATTGATACATTCATGATTAAAAATATAACAACATTTGATTATTAATTTAAAATAGGGTAACTCCATTATTTTAAAAGTTGAGTTTTGTAATATTTACATTTCTTTGCTTTTTATTTTGCCATATTTAGAATTAATGCATTTAAAATGTCAAGAAAATAACTTTTTATAAACAATTCAAAGGGAAGTACAATACAGTGTATATAAAACGATAAAGAGCTTTATGTTATTTTAGTAGTAGTATTTGTTTTATCATATTAATATATTTAAATAATTATAGATCCTATATCTAGAAAATTATGAAATTTGTTGTAAAATTAACTTTCACATAAATGCAATAAAATATGACTTAAGAATAAGTTTTTATAAGAATAAAAATGCTAAAAGGAAAAGGCAAATAAGAATGTATTGGTTGCAATAACTTTAGAATTTAAGCATTCAAAATTTATTTAAAAAAATACCTTTTTTAAGCATTGCATATTTGGTCAAAACTAAGTAATTTTAAATTTCTCTCTAACAAGGTTTTTAAAAAAAAGCATGTTTAGTGTAAAGAATAGTGATTTCTACCAATGTACAGTGTGAAAAAAAAGGGACTTAATATATCTGTATGATGAGGGTTCAAGACACCATGTTCTTTTTTTAAAATTGAGTTAATACCATGTCTGTGTAGTAGATTTTAGGCTATCTAGTGGTATAGGACCGGTCATAATGAATGGCTAAGTTAATCATAGAACATCCACCAAGATTAGCTGAATAATCTTTAAGTAAATTTGAAAAAAATCTAAGCTCTGCTCTTCTCAAAAATTACATTTCTGTGACATGGTGTCTTTTACCTCCAATGTACAGATATGTATTGTTTTTAATAAATAGCTATGTAATTGCCTTATTTATTATGTGGCTCAAATTTATTTTTAGTCACAAAAATAAATTTTAAACAATATCGCTAGGATTCTGGTCCTTACACAATATTTTAAAACACTAATCTTCTGATACATGGCATTAACATTTTAAAAGTGACCTAAAAGTACTTTGGCTAATTTCAAAAGAAAATATCTTATTTCATAGTGCACAGAATAAAGCTGATTAAATATTTATTGTTTCTTCACAACTCTGACTTCATGCAAATAAAAGTTTCATAAAATATCTAAAAACCAAAATAAGTTTCGTGTTAAGACAGCGCAAGGAAATAATCATTTAACATTCTAAAAACTATAGTAAAATAAAAATTAGCATATTTAATTTTTTTTTTTTAATAAAAAATGTGGAAAAAGTTAAAGTTACCTTGACAATGAAATAAAGCAATACGATTTACAAATAAAATTTTTTAGAGTAAGAAAAAACATGCTTTGGCTTGATAAATGCAGTAAGAATAATTTGTTTCTCTAAAGAATAAAATTTTTTTCGTCGAAAAATTTTAAAAACTAAAATTTTTTGTTAAAATAAAATTATCTTAAAAATTCAATATTTAAATAAATATTTAGTCAAAAAGTCTCGTTTGCATCTATCTTTGAAATATTAATTTCTAAAATAAAATAAGATATATCAAATCACTTTGGTTAGTGAATAACTAAATTTAAAATTTTTTTTTTCAAAATTTAAAAGCTATGTTTTTACAAAAATGATAATGTGCAGATAAAAGATATAAGAAGTTCACTCTGTACCAAACAAATCTTACCCTTTTTTAACACCGGTACATATCATTGGATACTCTAAATCAGGAGTGATGATCATTTCAAATACTTCTAAATTGGCAGGAATATAGCATTCCACTTGCTGAAAGAGGAGATTTTATGCATAAACTTATAAGTTAAAAGAAAACATAATGAAAGTAACGATTTCTGCATGAAATGTACCTTTAAAAGCATAAATTTTTTCAGAGGATTATACCACTGCATAAGAAAAAGGCCATTTCGCAGGGCCCCACACAAATATTTGTAGCCATTATATGGATTCCTTCCCACAGAACAACGCTTACATCCTTTTGTATCAGGCACTTTAGAAGTAGCAGAAAATTTCCTGAGATAAGAAAATTTAAAGTTAACATTAGTTTAAACATAGATATATCTTTTCACACCATTCATAAGTATATGAGTTTATTTGTATCTCGACGAGATACAAAGGCATACAGAAGGCATACGAGAGTAGATACACACATAAAACATCTAAAATAATGAATAATACAATTCTATTAAACAAGTGTAAACCAATTAAAATAGTAAAGTAGTAAGAGGGTTAAAAAACAAAATCACCCAAAAACCAATAAATGTTAAAACTTTACAGAAGCATGTAAAACAGTATTAAAATATTAGAAGTTAAAATTTGGTATAAAAGTTAAAAAGCAGAACAAGTTAAGAATCAAAACAATCAGTTAAAAATTGATAAGAACAATACAAGTTAAATCCTAGAGAAGTTTAAAATGATGGTAGATAAAAACACATCCATAAGTATATAAGAAAATAGAATAAATTTTCCTGAAAATATAAAAATAAGTAAGATAAACACTAATTCAAACATTAAAAGCACACTAGTGAAATGGTGAAGAAAAAACATTGCTTTCTACATACTTTTGAGAAAATGGTTAAATTTCTATATGTCAAGAAAAGACTGGATGTTAAATAAATAATCCCTAGAAACTGAAGGGAAAAGATATTACCTGTTTAAAAACTTCATTTGCTTCAAAAACATACAAAATGGAAAGATGTTTCAGACGACATATTGACATGCTTCAAGCGCCATTTTCAAAACTTGCTAGTAGTGAATGAGCAGATACAAAAGTGATTTGAAATATAAACGTAAAGGAGAGAAACAAAATTAGAAAAAATCACAATAGCTGAGAGAGAGAGAGAGAGAGAGAAAGAAATATAGAACAAGAAACCTCCTTTCGTCCACTGTAGTTCTTCTTATTCCATTTTTCATCTTTTTTTTCTCTCCCTTGGCTACTGTGAATTTCCTAGTTTTGATTCTCACCATCATTCTTCTACTTTTCATTTCAACTTTACGTTTTATATTTCAAATCTCTTTTGCATCTACTTTTTACGACTGGCAAGTTTTGAAAATGGGCATCTATTTGAAACATGTAGACTGTTATTTCCGATTTGTAAGTTTTTAAAGTGAATGAAGGTTTTAAACAAGGGAGGGACTAGATGACTTAAAGAGTCCACTTATACTTATTAATCTGTGCTCAGACACAACATACTTTTTATAGTATTTCAAATATTGGTTTTTGACACTTACAATTATATAGTCAAAAGCACACATGATTTTTTAAACTATATTAATTCGCTCCCTAAATATATGTGTGTGCGTGTGTGAGGATAGCTCTCATTCCTCATTTAGTGGAGGATTCATGTATTGCGTTGTACAGAGATGATCCATTTGCACTGGCTGTAAGCTTTCACTGCTAATGGAAGCTAAACAAATTAATTATTGCTACTTTTAATGCTGGTCAGGATGATTTTTTGTTGCATCTTAAATAGGAGATTGTGCAAAATTTTCTGTAACATTTTTTTTAACAAAAATTGTTACATGTTATATCTTTGATAAATTATTTAAATTTACAACCAATCACATGCCTTTACATAAATATATATTTGTTCAAAATCATTTTTGTGCAAATGAATTTAATAATTATACACAAAATTTGAATTGATTTGCGCAAATATTTCTTGAAAAACTAAAACTTTATAGTCTAAGCTTTTTACTACTTTTGATTACATTAGACGAGCCACATATCTTAGATAGTTGTTCTTTATTTTGGGGATCAAGTACCAGAATTGAAAAAAAAAGCATCATTATTAAAAGAAAATATGTTTTTGTGACTGCTTTCACAATTTAATTAAAGTGGTTGTTAATTAACTAAAATATTTTAATTGGGTTCCTTAAAACCATTTTAGTATGAGAAAATATAGTCATAAAAAAATTAATAAGGATGCAAGTATGACCACAAAAAAAAAAAAAAAAAAAAAGATGAAAGTATTTATTTTTACCTTGGAACAAACTTTTCAGGAATTCGGTTCATAGGCAGAGAAAACTTGTTTGACTGCTTTGCATAAATTTGTAGGAGATCATGTTGGTATAGCTGAGGTGATTTTCCTGGGGGAAAAAATGCGACTATGTGAAGGGAGAAGATAATTTTGTTACCACAAGTAACAAGAAACAGTAGAAAAAAAGAAATATTTAAATTCCTATTTAGCATTTTTTTTAAATAATTAATTATTTTAACACAGCATTTTCTTATATGGAAAAAAAATGTATCATAACTAATATTCTTAGCTTTTTGAATAATTCAATTAAGAAAAATACAAATAGCAATTTTCTTAGAAGTGTCTTTTTTAAGCTTGAGAGGACTATTAAAATACATTGACCTTAATGAATAAGCAAGAACAAGTTGGTTAGTAAATGAGGTCAGGTCAGCTAAAGTTGGATAAAGCAGATAGACATAATCATTTCACACAAATAATATGAAAAGTGAAACAAAGAAATAGACAGATTTTAAAATAAGATTTCTGAAGATAGGAGAGTACAAAAAAATTTAATGGATTAGAAATTATAGAGTTTGCCATTGTTAATAAAATTTATATAAATACTTTAATTTGCACTCTCAGTTTTTTCAATTAGAAAAAAGTATTACTTTTGTTTGGAAGAGTTTCCTCATTTATATTATACACAAACTAGAGATTAATAAAAGGAAATAGGAATCAATATAAAAACAGCAATAACAAAAAGAAAATTGAAGTCAAAATTAAAATAGCAACCTGAAAGGGTCATTAACACATTCTGTATCACAAACATCCAGACTGTTCTTCTTGGATATAGCTAAAAGAAATAAAATTCCAGAACAAGAAATTTGTCAGTTTTATTTTTACAAAAAACGGTATAAGTATAAAAAATTCAAAAATCAATTTTAAACTTACTTGATCAACAGTAGCATCATGTAGTTCATTCAGATTTAAAGTGTAAATCCCTTCCTCACAGCCAAAAAGGATATGCTGATCTAGAAAGTACAAAGCATTTAAAGAAAAACTATTTAATCAAAGAAAGTCATGTGTAATGTATTGAAGTCAACTTTCATACAAAAAAAAAGCTCATTCAAATTTTAATGAAAATTAAGCATTTATAACAGTTTTAAAGAAAAGGCTAATCTAAAAAATTATCAGGTAATTGAAAAATATTCTACTAAACACAAAGTAAAGAAATAGATAATTTTTAAGATTATTCAAGTAGAGGAATTTATTCAAATTCAGAGTGGAAATCCTTTAATTACTAGAGAAAAGAAAATTATTAGTAAACTCAAATAATTCAATAATTGCTGCGGCTAATAGAAAAGATTAATGTTTACACTTTATTAATATCATTTGCTCTGTTATTAATTATATGTGCATTTAATTGCAAGGAAGACTGGGGATTTTACTCAGACCAGAATTTTGAGCCTTTCGATATGTTTTGGAAATCTTAAGCTACAAGATCTTCCAAATAAATTACATAATTTTATTTTTTAAATAAATGTGGTATAATACATAATTGTCAAACCCACTCTAATATATAAAAATTATATTAAATTTTTTTTTTATCAAAAAGCTTTATTTTTTGTTGTTGTTTATTATGAATTACAGTAACTTGCAACCAACTTCTTTGATTCAAAAGTAGTGTTTTTTAGTATTTATTTACATGAATATTATTAATTGTGTAAAGCTTTTTAATTGATACAACATTGAAAACAGAGTGTGTTTGGCGTAAAAGCACCAGTGCAATTACTTTGCACTATTAATATATAATTTTATTCATAATTCAGTGTAAAAGTGCCAAAAGGAGGAGATTCTCGCTGCCCATAAATGTGACCGCAGTCACTCTTTTGGAAGAGGGAACATTTTTAGTTTATTTTCAGAAACAGAGTATAATGCCTAATTGGTAAAATAAAGCTAGCCCTCTTTCTTGAGAATTATATTGAAATTATTAAGATTAATATCCACAAGGGTTGTTCACCTTTTTGTGAAAAACCTATTCATATATTTTTGTGATTTTAGGAAAAATCACAAAAAATAGTAGTCTTCTCAAACTTTTTGTGAATGAGTATTTTTGTGAAGAAAAAAACAAACAAATTTTTTAAATTATGAATTAAAAACATGATTGATTCTATTTTTCATAAGAATTCATAAGTGTTGTGAAGGATCCATTTTTAAATAAAATAATGTGATAAAGTGAAGGGTCAATTTTTACAATAAAAATCTTGTGAAGGGTTAATTTGCAAAAGTCTATTTTGCAAAGAGATAATTATAATAATAAAACTTTTTTAGAAAAGGTATATTAACACATCAAATTTTCTCCAACATGACTGCTAATCTGGTTAATTAACTAAAAAACAAGATATTTTTTATAAAACACTTAATAGTAGGAAATAGTTTGTTAATCACACAAAAAAAAGAAAGAAAAAGTTCGACATTTATGTTTGGATATAGAATTTGCATTTACTTTTGAAAACAAATATATATATTTATGCTCAGTCTTCCACAGGTTTTCGTTAAACTTTTCTTTTACAATTGAATTAAGGGAACATTAAGCATAAATGAAACTCTTCATTTTAGAGTAAAAAATTAAATCAGTCGAAAAAAGTTATTAAACTATTTAAATGGGTATCAAAATCAAATGGGAGACCTATTCAATGTTGTCTGATAGGTAGAGAGAGTAATGTTTTTATATTCTTCAAATGTATATTACTCTTACAAATAATAAACGTTCTTGATAAAAAATTGTTAATTTAATGAGAAATTTTAGATTAAATTCATTAAAGTAAAAAAAAAGTAGTTAAGAACAATTTTACCTCTTGTTTCTGGGTGAATCCAACTGACGGTACAATGTATTTGTAATGGGCAACCATTGAAAACTTTAGAAAAACAAGCACCCATCTGGAAAAATAGATTCTTCTTTAAATTGTTATCATGCATAATACTTGATTTCAAATGGTTTTTCTTATTTATTTATTATTAGAAATATTTTTAAATTTTTTTATACATTTGATTTTGCACTAATTTAATTAAAAAATATAAAAACATTTTAAAAAAAGCATCGAAAGGAACCATACTGGCAGGTATAATAATTTGCTGCACATTAACAACGCAATAATTTATTTATTTTTAAATGAATTCTTTAAAATTAGTATTTTTCAAACCGCAATACATCCCTCTAAATAGTAATATTTTTCTCAACATCACAACGCAACTCACGAAAATTTTATATACAATGGATAAAAACTGATATAATGGTTTTATAATTTAAATAACTGAGGTTTTCAGTTGAATAAACCTTCATAAATCTTTTTTTTGCACTTATTTTGAGATAAGAATAAAAACATTTAAATGTTTATATAGAGAAAATAAGCGATTTAAAACTACCCGAGAGAGGAAGAAATTTTTTTAAGGCATTTTATCGATTTCTTTGATGACATTTAACATGCAATAAAGGTATACTTAATGTAATCTGGTGTATTTATTTGTATCATACTAAATTTTACCTCAACTATGCAATAGTAATAATCTGACGGACATTGAACATCTTGGGAACATGTTCATCAAAATTCGTAACATTTATAAAATATTAAATATGCAGGTCTTAAGTCTTGCTGATTTTTATTGTTGTATTTGTTTAACTCTTTTACCAATTATTTGTTTCTCTATGTTAGTGCAGAGTGGTTTTTACTCTGGGCAAAGATGTATATGAAGTGCTACAGTGTAAAGTCGCATATCCGGAATCCGTGGGACTTCCAGAAGTCCGTATAATAGATTTTTCCGTATAATAGACCCCCAAGGTGAACAAAGCTTAAAATGATTTAATAAACGATCTGAATCTAAGAAGCAAAAGATAAATAAACGTTATTTTTTAAGGGGAAAAATGTTTTAGCATTAGAATATCTAAATCAAATATAAAATATTAGAAAAAAAATATTATTGCTGAAAATATGGAAAACGAAAAAAATTTAACAGTTGTGAAAATATTAATCCGCCATTTTGAACTAGAACGATTCAAGCAGGAAGGGGAAATTCATGTCATTCTGGAACAAAGCTTAAAATGATCTTAATCTAAGAAGCAAAAAATAAATAAACATTATTCTTAAGGGGAATAATGTTTTAGTATTAGAATATCTAATCAATAAAATATGAAATATTTGGAAAAAAAATATTATTGCTTAAAGTATAGAAAAAAAAAAATTGACATATGAAAATAATAATCCGCCATTTTTAACTAGAATGATTCAAACAAGAAAGGGAAATTCCCGTCATTCATTAAAGTGGGTAGGTGGAGAAGAAAAATTCATTTCCTCCTTATTTGTGAAAGAAAATAAGTGTAAAGATGAGATCATTTAAGTTGAGGGTGGGGAAGTAACAAATTATTGTTTTCTCTCCAATCATTGGCTATCAATCAAGCATAAAGGCGGGGCACGCTGATCGGGTTCTCTTTATTTTTTCTTCTATGACTGGAAGAATCTGCTAAAGAGAGAATGTTACCCCCCTTTTCCCCCGCCTCCTAAATATTACATGGTATGGGGAAGAACGAATGTTTTGTTTCTCAAGGACGTATATCCTTTTAGACCTATTCAAATTTTCCATTTTGACTCCCCCTCCACCTTAACGCTTGCCCCATTTACCCTTTTCCACAGTATTTCTTCTTTCAATAAAAAGGTTTAAGGAAATGCCTCTTTTACTAGCGACCTGCATGGGAAAGGAGGGGGGGGGGAGGGGACTCAGTTGCGGTTTTTTGAAAACAAATCTCCCTCTTTTTCTTACATTCTTTTTCCTACTTCCCCTTTCTGGTGATTTATGGGTTCGATGCCAAAAAGAGAAAATGTGTCAAAAGACTTTTTTTTTTTTTTTGAGGAAAGGGGATGATGGAGAGATGTTTGTTTATTTTGATTGTTAAAAAGTGTCCGGGAAATCGACCCTTCCGGGAAAGGGACGTCCAGATATGGGACGTTACACTGTATTACTAGAAATAAAAAAATAGTTTCGCATATGTATAGATACATAAACCAAAATTCAATCATATGAACTGTATTTAATTTTTGATATATCAGGTGAGAAGAGAGTAAAATAAAAATTACATAAAACTTATCTAATGATCAATTAAAATGTAAAAAAAATTGCATATTTTAGAAATACATACATGAACTTTTGGAGTGGGAGGAAGTCCATTGGATACAGGTTTCTAAAATAAAAAATTAAGCATCATATAAATATATAATTCAAATTTACTCACAAAGTTACATTAAATTTACACAACACTAATTCAAATATTGATCATCAACGGATATCTGTATCTACTGGACTTTTTCTAAAACTTTCTGCCAACGGTTGGTAGAACACGAAGACCAGAAAAAAGCCTACAGAGCACTAAACTCAAGATATATATTTAAAAAAAACTTATGCTATCATATACTTTTCTATGTCTAAAAAGTTTCCTTGAGACATTGTATTGTGAATAGATGAGAATAATTTTAAAGTATTAAATTTCATGGACTGGAAATTGATTGATTCGTTAGCAGGTTATCCACAGTCTCGCATAGATTTAACTGCTTGGAATAAAGAAAACACATTGCAAAAGTATCAATTCCAAAATATAATAATCAAATTCATACAAAATTTATGCCATGATTCTTTTGAAAATACAGAATATAGAGAAGATTAACTTAAAAAATAACAAAATTGATTTCCGAAAGACTTACTTCCCGTCGCATATTTGTGATTTAGTTTATTAGTTTAAAAAACACTTAGAGCAGTATGAAGATTATATCTATATTTCTGCCTTTTTATTAAAAAAAAGAAACAAATTGGTCACAAATTTCTTTTATAGTGAGCAGAATATTAAATAATCAAACTTTTAAGACACTCAGAATTTTACTATGAATTAGAAGGAACTGCATGCTATCCATTTTCTAATGTTGTCCAAGCAGCATAACTACAAATTTTACTGTTTTTTTTTCCATAATGAAGAACATGAATAAAGAATAATAAAATACAATATAGGACACAAAGGAAAGATAAAATTGGCGAAATTCAAATGATTGAAACAGATATCTAATGAAGTGAGTTAAAATTTTAGTCTAATATCATATAAAATCCATATCCAACGATCATAAAAAGAGTAAAAGGTGGCATAGTTGTTCAAAAATCATAAATCCATCAGAATTGGAATTTTAAAAAATAACAATAGCATACTGGAGGTGTAGTCTTCTTTTTATCCTTAGGACGAGGTGGTACTTTAGGAGGCGAATTTTCAGTTTCCGAACTTGTGGCACTTGTAGAATTTTCATTATTATCGGTAGTAGTAGTACCAGTAATAGCGTCTATTGTACTTTGATAAGAATCTAAAAAGAATTTCAAGAATTATACAAAATAAGTTATTGCAGTACATACATATAATTACAATTTAATATTAAAGAAACTATTGTTACATCATTAAAGCAAGAGTCTTTTATTTGAATAAGAGATGCTCTCAAAGAACTAATTTTTTAAAAAAAGAAGAAAAAAATCTCTGTAGAGCAAAAGAGCAATCATGTTCTACGCTAAATTACAGTCAATGACCACAACAAAAAACAAGTAAATTTGTCCTTAAATTCTCACTCGAACTATTGTTTGTTTAGAAAGATTCAAAAATTAAAAACATTTTAATTTGAATTAAAATTTTTGACAAATAAATTACAAAACTTCAAGTTATCTTTAATCACTAAATAAAATCTTACTTTAAATGAGAAAAAAATTAAATAAATAAATAAAAAGAGTTGAAAACTTTTCTCAATACATTACACATGAATACATTACTCAATACATTCTCACATTCACGATACATTTCTCAATACATTACACATGAATACATTACAAATTTCTTTCTTACGAAAACTGTTATAGTGGGATTTCCAAGGTAATTAAGATTTTTCTAACTCACAAACTCAAACAATGTGCTAAAAATTCTCGTATCACAAAAATAATTATTGTCAATCAACAAAGATTTTAAATATATTACAGGTAAAAATTCTATGAAAAGGAAAGTAGACTTTTCTAAATGCTTCTTAACCAACAATTTGAAGAGTGGGATAAGACCAGGTACCTCGATTGTGTCAAAATTAGTTCTGTTTTTTAAAGGAGAAACTCTGAACTACACTTTCCTAGTTGGGAAAAAGAATATACCATATTGCTGTGCTCTTGTTGATTAATTCATGGTTTCTGAATAGATAAGTTTGTTTTACTATGCCAATTCTCTAATGCTCTTTTTCGTCTTTAAACTAGCCTAAATTATTGATCATTAAAGTTACAAAAATTATTTTTACTTCAGCTTATTTTATTTTTGTTAAAGATTCATACATTAACAAACAATAAGGATTTAATCCAATAATAGCACTGTTTTATTACGAATCAATAACTTCTGCTCATACAGTAAGACAGGATACCACAAGGTCTAATCCCCACACCCTTGATGAGAGTCGATTCTAGGCCCACAAGATGTGCAGTGCATCGGAGGAAGTAGATAACAACAAATAAGGCTTTTTCTCTGATATTCTAGTATTTCAAAAATTCCTATAGAGTAAACATATGTACCTTTTATCTAAGGTACACATATTAAGCAAGTTTGATTTGTCTATTTCTAGAAAAAATCATTTTTAAATAGCGTAGTACATCTATAACTTTTCAGGAATGATGTATCGTACATAACTAAATAACAAATATCTTAATTAAACCTGACAGTTTCTAGGTTGAATAGTTTAGCTTCTTTGGATATTAGCTACCTGGTCTTACTCCACTTTACCCTATATGCAGCAATAGTAGTCAAGAATGCATAATAACATTGGGGCACAAAATATACTAGATAAACAATTTAAAAGCTTAAAAAAATTATACATGAATACAAAATCACTATACCCTTTTTAGCATTTACTGTCATACACAAAACAACATAAAAAGTATCTGTTTACAATTTTTTGGGAGGGGTATTTTTTTAATTAAAGAAAGTAATTTTTTAAAGTTGAAGAATGAAAAGCTCAAAAATTGTTTTCTGCCCGGCTTTTAATTTTTTTCTTTAGATTTTTCATTTTTTTCTGAAATTTCTATAAGTTTTTAAACTAATTTAAAATTTTCTAAAGCATATGAACTCTAAAATATAAACAAATAAATAACTTAGAATAAAATTTATTAAAAAACACTGAAATATGAACCTGTATCATTGAGTGGACTGGTTCCATGATTTGATAACGTGTCCATTCTTTCCTCTCGAGGAATGCTGTTATGTCCTCCAGAAACATTACACCCTAGAGATGCTTCCTGAAAGAAAAATAATTTATTAATACATTATTTAATAAAATAATTTCATATAATTTAATAACAAGGTAATGTAATAACATACCTCTACACTTTCATAATCACCCCTAGAGCTTAAAGGTAATGTTGCCCTGAAAATTCATTAAGATTATTATTTTTTATTTCATGTAAATAAAAACGGGCAAATATAAATAAAATATTGCTCAAAAATAGGAGAATATACTTACTGTTGAGAGAGTTGAATATTTTTTCTATCTTCAACAGACAATAAATTACTCCTGAAATAGTGAAATAGACTCACATTCTATTGCAATAACCAGGTTCAAGAAAATGTATTTTTATCACTTAATTCATGTAAGAATGTTAGCTTAAAAACAATACAGTTTGCAAAATGCAGCCTAAAAATTAGATCCGAAAAAATATTTAATTCACTTTTCCTATAAAAAATATTACAGTAAACAATTCATATTTTTTAAAATTAAGCTTGAGGAGTAACAGATTCAAATTACTTAAGAAGTGGTAAGATTACAAATTTGAGATATTTAAGAATAATTAAATCTAAAGATTACACTTATAATATAACAAATTTATTAAGTATTAACTTCACAGTCACTTATTTAGTATTAAACTCACAATTATATTTAAATAAATAAATGAAAAATATATGCTCTTATTCTTATTACATTGAACTAATACTTAAAATTATCAGGAACTTGTTGATTTAGTTGACCCTCACTTCTAATAAGGAGAAAACATTTTTAATTTTTTACTATTTAGGAGACAAATATTTATTGCTGTTCATCCTAACAACTTGACGGTTTGATAATTTAAAGAATTTGTTTATTCTCGAATAACATTGCTAGTATACTAGTGCTAGGATGCTAAATAAACACAGAAAAGATATGGATAAAATATTTACTTGTGAATAACTTCATCATTATCTTGTTCCATCCAAGCAGTTGGTAAGTCATAAACATCATTTTGTGAAGTTTCCTATGTATAAAATTTTTAAAAAAATTAATAATATTAAAATAAAAATTTCATGAAAATATTTTTAAGAACATTTCAGTTACATTTAAAAACAAGAGTCATAAATATTTCTATTGACAGCTAAATATTTTTACAGCCAATTTGATCACAATTTGCAACAGAGAATAATTATTTCATTGTTATTCAAAACAGAATATAAAAAAGGCCTTAATAAAATTAATACCTTAAGTATAAAATTTCATGCAAAATGATCCCTACTGTTATAAATAGTGTTTAGAAGGAAATTTTTGTTTTAAAAAAAATATTATAATATTCATTAAAGACGCCCGGTGGCTGAGCGGCAGAGCACCGCGCTGTCAAGTCACAGGTCCCTGGTTCGATCCTCGGGCCGGGCAAGGTTGACTCAGCCTTTCATCCTTTCAGTGGGTCGATAAATTAGTACCAAGCATGCTTGGGAAATAAACACAGGGGGTTCCGCGTTCCGCTGACCGGAACATCTGCTCCTGCACCCCAGAGCCTAAGGTAAAGTAAACTGAGATGGGCACAGTAGGCCTTGGCCCTTTATGGGCTGTCGTGCCACTGAATTTAGTTTAGTTTAATATTCATTAAGATTTTCGACACACAATCAATAATAAATATTTTCAATACAAAAATCACTGATTTTATTTTCCAATAGTAAAAGGCATGCAAAATAAATTTTCTTGTTATGGGAAAATGAAGTCAAATGATGTTGCAGGCAGTAAGAGTATCGCAAAATAATGCCAATCACCTTTTTGTAGAAACAGAAAAACATTTATATAGTTTATATGCAATTCAAAAGCTTAGTGGAAGAACATGGCAAGTAAAACTTACATGATGTGAACAAAATATATTTTTCTGCTTAAAATTGAGGGATAAAAACTTGGCAGAATAAACTATTTAATTTCATAAACGTTGTTGAACAGCCAACACAATTTTTTGGTGTATGACTACTAATGTTTAACTCCATAGCCTTGTAATTTTGAACCCATTCCACTAGAAGACAAGGGAACTCCTAGATCAAGTATTGGGAGAAATTCCTTCGTTCAGAACTTTTTGATGGAACTAAAACACATTTGCGTTACACGGAGAGGGAAATGGCTTAAACTTCCAAGGTTAGTCTGATGGCAAGGGGATTCTAACCCATCATCCATCTACCACTGAGAATATTTTACGTCAGCACTGTGATTCAGTGCAAGCTGGTTGCGGAATTCGTATCGACCAGTCATTGCTGGGATTCGAACCAGGTTCACCACATTAGAAGGCTAATGCTCTATCCCCTGAGCAATCACAGCTCCAGAAAAAACTATGAATACTTTCAGCCAACCACAAAATGTTTTTAAACCTAAAATATTGGGTGCTTTGAAACTATCAATCAACATAGTTTTCCACAGTGCCCTTCAATTTAAAACTAATTTAATTAGGTTTAAGTTCCAAAATTAAAAATCAAGTGAGTTGTTACAGTATAAAAAAATCAAAAAGAGCCTATGGCCAATTTGCTTTCCATTTACTGCTTTCCGATAAAGACCTACATACACAACTGCAAAATTTTTGAACCTGTTAAGATAAGGATATTAAACAGCTTACCACTGATTACAACTTCTTTGTTAGAAAACTAGTGTTTCTTTTTTAGATTTTTGCCTTACTACTAAAAAACATTTCTGCAAGGCTTCTAGTTCATGATTTCCCACACGTACCCTCTAAATAACATTACCCAAATGAAAATTTAACATACATTTTCCATTGTTTTATATTCCATTATCTAATATTTTACATTATTCCCAAACAAGTGTATGTTATAAACATTTAAGAAGTAATATAATAATAATAATAAAAAATTTAAGAATACTGATAAATAGTAGTTCAAAATATAATCACTTAATACAGGAGGGGGGGCATTCTGTAATAAGTGGATGTACATCATGATATACTAGCATAAATGTAAATAAACAGATGAAAAATAAAAATTCAAAAAACTTTTTTTCATGTAAAAAGAAATGAAGCAACAAATCGATTTTTTTAAACCTTAATTTAAAATAGAATTTATAGCTTGATAATGTTAGATAAATTCTGAATAGCTTGATAGTCTGAATTATAAAACTTATTGATCTTTTCGAACATAATTTTATGTATATTATTTCCAAAGATCATTAAATAGAAAGGTAAAGGCCATTAAGTTATCTTCAAAAGATTCAACCAATGAATTATATCATTTTTTTTAAATTTGTGATTTATATGAGAAACCTCTAAAGTATATAAAAAAAAAGTAATGAAATTATAAATAGTAGTACAACAGTAACTGATAAACATTAGTTTAAATAAAATCACTTAATAAAGGGGAGAGAGGAAGGAGCATGCTGAATAAAATGGATATTCATCATGACATACTAGTACAACTAACTAGGAAATGCAATAAACGTATGAAAAATTAAGTCAAAAACACAAATTAAAAAACAAATTAGAATTAATTAAAAAACGAAGCCAGAAATTAAATTTTTTAAAACCTTAATTTAAAAGAGAATTTACAACTTGATAAGGTTGTATAATCTTGACATTCTGAAAAACAGAACTCGTTTATCTTTTCTAATATTATTTTCATATGCATTTTTTCCAAATGATCATAAATAAAAATGCATAGGCAATAAACGATCTTTAAAAGATTCAATAAAGGGATATCATATTCAAAATACTACAACTGTTACACAAGCGTACTAGGAAAAAAAAATATGGCATGAATAATCATAAACATAAATAAATGATAATAAAATAAAAGTTACCTCAGTAATTCCCCAGGAATGAGAAACTGGTGATTCTTCAGTATTCTATAATCATAAAATTTGTTAAAACTTGATTCCTTAAAAAATGTTAAAACTCAATACAAGAAGAAATAAACACATAAAAATAATTAATAAAATGTTGTACCATAAAAACAATTTTTTTTTCAATTTTATTCTTATTTTAAATAATGTTCAAAAAATTCTGTAGAATGGTAATGTTAGGCATTAAAAAAATAATAATTAACAAAATATATTAGGAAAAAAAACACAAGAATTGAACTTTTATAAAAGCATTATATACAAAAATTCCTATTTTTAAGGAAATACTTTGATATTGATATAGCTTATGATGATAATGCAATTTCTAACACTTTAGTAATTACTCATACATTAATAAGATACAAATTTGTTAAGAAACTAACATATATTATTTATGCCCTACTCTCTCTATTCAAGTCTTGTAGATATTAATATAATCAAGTTTTATCAAGAAATTAAAAAAAAAAAAAAACGTTATTTAATTCAATTGAACTAAGCTTAAGAAATACTCTCAAAATAGTATCAATTATGAAACAATATGTTTCATAATGAGTCCAAAATGTTAAAAGTTTCTGTTCTTAGATAATAGTATTAATAAAAGATTAAGAAAAAAACTGTATAAATTTGGTTTAAATTGTTAGTCAATTCAGCCTTAGTATTTTTTTTTTAATTTCAAAATTTCTATTAAAACTTGGAATACGAGTTAAAAATATGAAGTGAATTTTTCTTATTAAAATTCACTTCGCATAATAAAAATTTTAATTATTTATTTTTCAATTTTTAAATAATTTAAATTTTGTTGAAAAAACTAATAGTAGCTAGAAACATATCAACAATTTTATAATCTAAGAAAATAGAAGTATTATATAATAGTGCATCTAAAAATGATAATAACCTGTAACTACTGTTCATATGGCTGGATCTTCAAAGATTTTTTAAAAGTATATTTTATACTAACATAATTTACATGAAATTATAATAATTAAGTAATTATTTTCAATTTTCACACAGAAATTCAATTCAAGTTTACTTACCTCATGGGCTGAAGTTGAAAGAGGCGTCATCAGTGGTGGCTCAAAGTTAACACTCTCCACTAAAATTAAATAAAATGTTAACTTAATATTGTACAATTTGAAATGCAAATATTTTATTGTCTTAAAATATGATTGCTATAATTAGCATAGAAGGAAATGATAGGTTTTAAACAAAAAATAAAACTGTTTTGTAGTTGGAAGAAAAATTATTAATTTTAAAATAAATTTTCAAACATCAAAAATAAAATTTTCAGACATGGGGATATTAGTAGATTATATTGATGGCTTGAATATCAATTGTATATTTTCCTTGCTAATAATTAATCATTTTCAAAATTAATCATTTCATTTATATTGCAAAGTAAATAATGATACTGGACAGAAAAGACTCGATTTATATTGCACTAATTTCCAACAGAAGCTACTATACTGGTATTGGCTGGTTGATTAGCATATTACTCTGAGCCTCCCATGTCCATATTGCTGATGGATGCAAAACATTCACATTAGAAAATGTGTTATAGCTCACATTCAATAATTGAGATGGGTAACAGTGGAACATTTTCATGGTTTGTATTACTACATGGATTAAAAAAATGCAAGTGACTAATTAACTAGAGCAAACAATATTTTACATTATAAATTCAAACACAAAAACTTACTTTCGTTGAATAAACATATTTTCCCCCAACAGATTTGGATTCTTAATCTTAAAATTAGGGGGAGGGGTGTGATGCAAAATGGAAAATATGGTCACTATATCTTATGCTAGAGGGCAGTCAAAAGTTTGGACCCCTAAATGTTAATTTCACTTTTTATGTTATTTCGCTGTGACTAGAGAATTTTTGAAATGAATCAAAATATTTTTTGCACACAATTACAAAATTATTTATAATAATTTTTCACAATTTATTTAAAAATCAACAAAAAGTTTGAATTGTTAGTAATTTGGTAAACCATTTTTAGCAACATTTTAAAGTATGTAAATTGAAATAACAAAATAAGAAATTTAAATATAATCAGTCAAATGGTTTCTAAGTTATCCATTTGACGACTTTTGCTCAAATTTTGAATTTTGCCATTCATGTTAAATGAAAAAACTTAATTAGTTTTAGATTTTAATTTTGTTATTATCACATACTTTAAAATAATAAGAAAATTTGTATACCTTACGATTCAAAATTTTTTCAACTAATCAATATTTAAATTTATAAAATATAATACGTTAATTAATAAAAAATAAATAATTATTAAAAATTATTTTTTACATAGAATTATCTTATCTTTAGATAAATAAATTTTATAATTGTGAGCAAAAATATTTAAATTCATTGAAAAAATTCTTGAAATGCAGTGAAATATTGAAATTAACATTAAGGGGTACAAACTTTTGACTACTCTGCTATCTAAATTATTAAGACCATATTTTTCAGATTGTAGCTATTTTGAGAGTCAAGAATTCAAATCTGTCCAAAGAAAAAAAAGAGGTATGTTTTTTCAGAGTGAGTACATTTTTGTGTCCGATTTTGTAACTTAAAATATTGTCTGCTCTAATTAAGTCGTAGTATATAAAAATACATTCATTTGATTGTTAAGAATTAAATTCATTGGTAAAGGTTAATGACAACTTTATGAATGTGATCTGATTAAATTCTCATGATTCCAAATAAATTATTTCTTTTTAGAAATTTAATATTTTAACGTTAAAAATAAACTACATTTCTTTCACTTGTTTTTCTTACAAGTATGTGCAAATTTCTAGTAAAAAAAAATGTTTTCAAAATATGTAACCAAAATCAGGAGAATATGTAACCAAATTTTGGTATCCATTATAAGATAACATTTTTAGCTCATTCCGAGTGAAATCAATTAATGGCCGTTATAGTCATGTCACAGATTTTTATTAAATCTTTTTTTGAAAAAGGACTGAAAAATTTTTTTAAAATTTTTTGGACCAAAATTACACAGAGGAGTTCATGTTGAAAATTGGCCCAATTTAAAAAGATGGCATAACTACAGATAGTGGCTCATATGTTAAAACTAGCTATATCTAATTTTATCGATAAGCCAATTTTCTTAATTTTAGTGTCATTAGATAGAAAGTAGTCAAAACTATTAAATTAAACTATTAAAATGCTGAGAATATACATGATAGATATTATTTGCTACTTAATACAGCATTTCCTTCCTAAATAAAAAGAAATACTTTTTTGGAGAGAATAAATCAATAGAATTAAAACTTTGACTCACTATGCAGCTCAGATCGTGTTCTTTGTTTATCTCGAGCAGGACGTTTGGAAGCAATACGTTGAGGTACATCAGGCAAAATCTACAACAGTTAGAATTCATATAAAAAATTGAGTTACAGACTTTTTGTTAATGACTAAACCTATAAAAGTTTATAAAAATAAGAATGAAAAAATGAAATTGAATGGAAAATCATTTTTTAAAGGTTGAAGAGAAAAAAACAGCTAATATAAGTCAAGGAAACAAATTAAATCACAATACTTTTAAATTACATAAAGTGATATTCTTTAATTCATTATAGCAATCAAGTGAATAATCTTAAACTTCTGGTGTATGAAATATAAAAATTTTCAGGCAGCATACAAATTTATTAAGAAACGTGTATCTTTAAGTTAAGGCAAGAGAGTTATTACCATGGGTATATAATTAGTAAAGAATGAACAATGTTTTTTTAATTAAATATTTTGCTTGTTTTCCTTTTTTAATTTTCTTTTATTTAAACTTTACAAAACTGTTATTATTAACACATTTTTAAAGGTCATCAGTCAAATTAAGAACACTCTATTATATATATATATATATAATCATCATATAAAAACTCAAAAATTATAAAAAGGCCCTAATATTCACCAATAAATTTAAATTCAATGAAAGAAAAACCTAAGGTCAACAATTTTATTAAAAATTGTTTTCTAGAATCAATTATTGAAGAAATATTCATATTTTATTATTTATATCACTAAACAAAATATATTTTTTAAATAAATCTATTTCAACAAATATTTATTACACAGACTTCATTCAACTATTGTCAAGCACTTAGTCCTTTCCTGAGCTCATCTTTTTACAGCCAGGGTTGAAAGATTACATAATGTTGACTGCAATCAGCTGACATGGACTGCAGTTGAGTTGGTACCCCTGTCTCTAAACTTCTACATCACAATAACGAAGGAGCTCAAATCACAAAAAATAACAGATCTAATATGTCCCTTGCTGCATATACACATCCACTGTTTAGTAGCCCATCAGAATCGAACTTGACCCACAGGTTTCAGCCAATGGTGCGAGTAATGCACTGATCAACTGTACCTGGCATTCTTATTTATATATGTGACTTTTTTTTCCTTCTTTTCATTAATACAAACTTAGCTTCACAGAGTAACCTTACTATTTTAGCAGGCATTTAACAATCATATAAAGAAATTTATTTTTAACAGAAAATACTTCTTCTACTTCTAATAGAATATCAAGTTCTATTTACATTTCAAAAAATTACACAAGTAAATAATAAGGTAATAATTATCATACAAAGTAAAACAATAGATTGGAAATCCAAGCTAAACTTAAAACTGTGAGATGAGAGAAAAGTTTGTAGTACACGTAATACTTTGTTTACTATTGACTGCTTTAGTCTTTTGATTATTAGTAAAAAATAAACTCACCCCATCATCATCAAAATCCTCTGGGTAAGCAGTCAGATGAGGATTATTAACCCGATTTAACAATTCTTTAGCTAGTTGTTTGGATAAATCTCCTTGTAAGAAAGGATGCTAGAAATAATAAAAGGACAAAGCTGAATTTTAGTAAAAGGAAACCAAATTATTTGGACAGAATTTTAAGCAATCTATTAACATTATCCTAAATTTTATAACTTTGGATAAATATTTTGCATAAAACTAGATTATATTATTTAACATATATACACTCCCACAATAAAAGAAGTCCCCTTAATAAAGAAATCACAAAATGTAATGAAAAATTGAGGAGAAAATTTTTACCTGAAGAAGTCTTTCAGCTGTGGGTCTTTTCTTTGGATTTTTCGTTAAAGCAACTTTAACAAAGTGATGAAAAACTGGAGACCTATAAAGAAAATAAAATCCATAGGATTGGTAATTTAAGAAATAACAATTAAGATAATTCATGAAAAGAAATTGATTAAATCAAAATAAGCTACCACTTGACTTTATCTGAAAGCGTAGGTGGCTTGAATCCAGATTTAGACATCAAAAACAAAGCTCTCATGGGATGAAGATCAAACATAGGTGGTTGCAGTTCTGCTAACTCAATTGACGTAATTCCTACTGCCCATATATCACATTGCTGGTTATACCCTCCCTTTCTTTCAACTGCTGCAACTTCAGGAGCCATCCTAAACATTTAAGAAATAATAGGTAAACATTAAAGAAATAATAAGTTTTATGAACAATGAAAATTACATTCAATAAATACTTATATTTTAATTTCATAATTTGTAATCAAAATATAAGTTTATAAACAAAACAAGAAAGCATCTTTGGGTTAAACCACATTCTACTATAAAAACATTATGTAGGAAACAAATTATGTTTCATCCTCAAAAACATATTTTACAAAATTATAACCAAAATTTCTCATAAATTTTACCAAAATAATTAAAATTCTCCTTAGTTCAAAAGCTTGATATATTTGAAAGTTTGTTATACTTGACTCAACCTAATTTGCTTTCAGCAAATTAATAAATGTAACAATATATTATAATTCTTTAAGTTTGTAGATATAGCATTTTTTGATGTATATGTATAACAGACAACAGTTGCAAACAAACTCAACAAAACACTCATTTGGAAACACTTAATTACATTTTCAGTTGTTCAGTAACATTTATATTGAAAAGAAACAAACAGTGAAAAAAATTGTCCATTAAACTAAATTTTAATTAGAGCGTGTTTTTACTTGCTTATTAGATCAATAAATTCATTTTCCAACCAGTCTAGTTAAAGTGAAGTTAACCATGAAAAGCTTTAATGTTTTTTTTCCAGGCAAAATAAATATGCATTAGTTTCACAGAAAAAGTTTCTTTAAAAAAATTAATTTGGTTAATGTTTGTTGATTGAAGTAAAAATAATTTTATTTTTGATACGGAAATCGAATCATAGCATAAGGACAGTAAAACCACTATTTGACAATAGTAATGAGATAATTCTTACTATGCATCAAAAAATTTAAGAAATTGTACTGAGGTAGATCTCATTACACAAAAATTATGTTTATAGTTATGGGATGATTAAAATTTAAATCCTAATAGTTGAAACATTTTTTATCTAATAAACCATAATTCTAATAAATAAATATCTTTAAAATATCCTACTTTAACAGAAGCTGCATTAATAAATTCTATTGAAAATTCAAATGATTTAAGAGACATATTAATTAATTATGAAGACCATTATTAGCAGATATCTCATTTTTATAGCATATTAATCATTCTGCCTCCAAACAGTTATCAGAAATTTTTTTAGAAACAATTTTTAAAAAATTTAGTTTAAAGTTAGAACTATAGAACTACAAACAAATTAGAATTATATCTTGTAAATTATTTGTTCCAATAGAAATTATTCGATTTTTGTATTGTTTTGCATAAATGTTACACCCAGCCAGGTACCTGGATCTGGACAGGTAAAAGATAAATTTTTCATCGGGTACACATGCCTGGTAAAATTTTAGGACCTAGTATTTCTCTCGAAAGAATTAAAGTTTTTCTTAGAATGTTGAAGAATAGGTAAAATATCCTCAAATATCAATTAAATTCTAGAGTTGAGATTAAATAAGAAACTTTCCTCATGCTAAAATAATGATAACTAATTAGTATGTTAGTAGATTAAATAGACACAAAAAGAATAATTTATTGAAGTTCAGACCATGTAAATGCTTATTGTTCAAGTAAAAATTATAAAAATTGTTAAGTATGTAAGAAATTACCCATAAAAATAGGTTTAAAAATAGTAACATTATTAAATTTAGTAACAATTACTGAGCTTTACCAATATGGTGTGCCAATAAGTGATTTTCTTTTGCTTAATGTGGCTGTTATGTGTGCAGAAACCCCAAAATCAGCTATGAAAAGAAATATCAATAAAAACAGATTAGTTTGTTTATCAACTCAAACATCAATGTTACAGATCGAGAAAAAAAAAAAGATTAGGAAAGAAAATAATTTAAAATTAAGTAAAAGCTAAATAATTTAAAGCATCTAATTATATTGTATTTATTACAAAATTATAAAGTAAAAGAGCAATATAAATGAGCAAATGGTTTTGAAAAATAGCAAAATGAAGCAGATAACATATTTTATTTTGTTTATCATACTATTTAAAATTAAAAGTATTTTTTAACCAATCNAATTTTGAGTATAACAGGGTTCATGCCCTACTTAAGAAATAAAATTCAAGGACTTTTTAAGACTTATTATAAAATTCTCAAGGACTTAAATTTTAGTAAAAGATAGACTAAAATTTTACATTTTAAGCTAAAATGTTTTGACGATAATAGTTAGTTGACGATAAATGTTAGACAATAATAGCAATACTGAAAAATAAGACTTCCATTGCTCTCTTGATTTCGGAAAGTGATCTAAGTGTAAAAAAAAAGCAAGGGTGATTGGCATCAAGTAAAGAATAAAATTCATGATTCATAAAAACGTCAGATTTTAATTTTGCAAAAGGCCTATTTTAAGCTAGGTTTACAACCTCTGAACAAGCAAAAATTCGGGCAGAGGACGGGGGGGGNATGTTCTATATAATACTGTGATATCAATTAGATATTTAAAAACAACTCTGCCGGGAGATTTTTATTTAATATTTAAAGTGGCAGAAGCATTTAGACAGTGAAATTCAAATTGTTCTTAAATATAATTTTGAAATTTTGACCACTTTTCTATTAAAGAAAATTAATCAATTATTGGATGTTGCGACTTAATTATCATTTTAAATTTATTACCGGTCAACCATTTTAAATTGAATCAGTTGCCAAATTTCACCTCAATATCTTTTGATAGATTCTTACTAACAATTTTGGTCACTTTGAATGTTTTAATTAACCACTCATACTTGAATTAATTTTTTTTCAGTAGCATCGATCATCTGCACTTGACATGGTCACATGAACATGAATCGCTACGAGTAGTTTTCAAATAAAGTATAAATACGAAAATCGATGTTTGATATTACAACATCGATGTTTGATATTGCAAAATGCGTGAATACGAATAGCGGCATTGGGTTTTAAACTTGCGGAAAAACTAATCGCGATATTGGGGTTTAAAAACGCTGAAGTACAAATCGCGATATTGGGGTTTAAAAACGCTGAAGTACAAATCGCGATATTAGATTTTAAGATTGCTTTAATGGGAATTGCAAGTAAAATTTTTGAATCACGTGAAAACGGATCGCAACACATAACTTTTAAATCAGTTTAATACAAAGATCGACGATTGATATTAAAATTGCCTGAATAAGAATCGAGATTTTGTCAGAATCTGGCGTAGTTCCCAATATTTAAAATTCCTAAAATCAGCCAAACATACATAAGATCTTAAAATCAAACAGTACGTGTCATCATCTGAAAGGCAGGAAAGTCATTCCCTCACACTTACGTGCGTCAAAAAGTTAAACACAGAAATGCTGGAAATAGGGCTGTTTTCCTGAGTTTTTGATACTTTTCAAGGTCATTTTAAATTTTTCAAGGATATAATATTATTTTCAAGTACTTCTAGGGGCCCTTGAAAATCAAAATGAAATTCAAGTACTTTTCAAGGTTCTTTCAAGGCCGCGGGAACCCTGTTTTAAACAATCACTGAAATTTACTATCTTGCTTGATTTTTATGATTTCAAAATATAAAAAATTTAGAGGTAATTTTTACATGGCATATTATTGAAAAAAATTCAAGTTGATGACTATTACATAATACATAAATATGAAAGAAAACTTTTAAGTTATCATTTAGCTTCAGGGTAATAATAATAATCATCATCAATGGCTCGACACCAAAGGGTGGGCCTTAGCTTTCTCAAGAAGTTCTTCCAGGTTAACTTTTTTTCCTGCTAGTTTTTTCCAGTTTTTAGGACCAAAAGGTCTTCTTCTAGGCCATTTATCCATATCAAATTCGGCCTGCCTCTTTTTCGTGTGCTAACTGGTCTGGCATTGAAAACTCTTTTTGTGCTACGGTCTTCGTCCATTCTGATAATGTGGCCTGCCCATTTCATTCTTTGTCATTTTTAATAATGTCAGGTTCATCATATGAGTGATAAAGCTCTAGATTTGATCTTCTAAGCTACACACCATTTTTTTGAATTCCTCCAAAAATACTTCTTAAGACCTTTCTCTCAAAAGTACCCAACATAGCCTAACCCGTACAAGATATGGTCCAGGTTTCACAAGCACATGTTAAAATTGATCTTAGAACAGATTTACATAATAAAACTTTTGTTTTTCTATGAATTACATAAGATTTTATGTATTTTCGAATTCCATTAAAACATTTACTGGCTATAGTAATTCTTCTTTGTATTTTCATTGTAACATTGTTCCTGTTGTTGATTACAAAACCCAAGAAAACGAAATTGTCAACAACCTCAAATTTATATTTGTCAATTTCTAAATGGGCATTATTGAATCTTGTTTTAGTACAGGGCAAATATTTAGTTTTGCTCTCGTTTATTCTCGGGCCCATCCTGAAAGCCGCTTTCTGTAAAGAAAAGCTTCAGGGTAATGCCAAAAATAATTCATGTCCCTTTTAATTCAATCTAGATAAAATTCTTTAAAATTTTTGCTTTTAATAGATTTAAACTAATGCACAAAAATATGTGAGTTTTATGTATTATCACATAAAGATGGAAAGAAAGATATAAATCTCGAAAAATCCCAAGCTATAAATACAATATAAGATTATTATGGCCATAATTGTCTGAACACCCAAGGGGACACCCTGAGGAGAATCCCGAGACACATATTAAAATGATGTTAGTCTCCTTTTTGCATGGATGACAGCTTGCACACTTCTCAGAAAATTTTTCAACAGTTGGTCACAGGAAATGACATTCAGACATCTATCACAGTTTAAGTGAGAGCGGACAGTGAGGATGGTCAGTATGGCTGGCAACATAATTAGTGTTTTAATTCATCACAAAGGTGTTCTATGGGATTTTGATCTGGACTCTGACAAGGGAAACTAGGGAAGTGTGACTAGCCAATTTTGAAATAAACTAGTGCGATGTATGCCTTATGACAAACAATTTTAGGGGGCAACATTCGTTTCGGCCCATAGAAGGTCTTGTGAGAGATAAAAAATAATTCAATATATGGAAAAATCGGTATTTTATTAGTTCAATGCAGACTATTAGTTTAATTGTCTCATAATCCAATTAATTTGTAATTAATTGGATAATTAATTAATTTTTTAATTAATAAATGAATCAGAAATTATTAATTAATTAATTGATTTGCAATTACATACTCCAATTAATTTGGAAAGTTTTTAGAAAAAAAAAAAATTTACAAAAATTTGATGTCAATTTTTTTTTTTTCAAATTAACCTAACAGGTTTTTTTGAAAAACTGCAGATACATAAAATTTTGAAAATCAATTTCAACAATAAATATGCATTATATAGTACGTGAAAGTAATTAATTATCCAATTAATTACAAATTAATTGGAGTATGAGACAATTACAATAACTAATAGTCTGCATTGAAGTAATAAAATACNATTTTATATTAAAAAAAAATTGGTGCTTTGGGATTATCCTGTTCACTATTTCTGGCAAAACCGATATTATCGTCAAAAGGTAGCTTCTGCGCCAATAACTGCAAATCTTATCATACTTACTGAGTAATCCTTGACTACATGAGTTAGTTTTCTCTAGCCTATTTAAACGACTGTATGTGGCAGCGACTGCACAAAGAAAATGAGTCGTTTGTTTGCGCTTTAAAAGCTATCAAGAATTTTTGGCTGCCCAAATGAATTATAATATATATGGTTGGATTCAAGAATAATTCAACGTGTAATTATAAAAAAATAGAGGTTTTTACTTTGTTTTGATTCTTTTATTACATATTACACTAACATTTTTTTGTCATTATTTTTTTACTATTATTATTTGATAAATTTAAAGTGCTTAGAATGTTTATTTTGGAAATTGTTTTTGCACCAAACACAAGGTTTCCGCCAGTGTTGACCAGTCAATGTAATAATCACCAAGTACAAGTCTATGGGATAATCCCAAAGTACCAAAAATTCCTGTTTTCATCTCTAACAAAAAACAAAAGATGGAGCATATATTAAACCAATAAATTTAGATTATGCAAAATTTGAAAATTAATTGCCACACATTTCTTATTGAAGATATGAAATATTGTAGAAATAATTTACTACAAGTTTATCAGATTAATATTGCTTTTTTGTGAAGGGATTCTTAAGATATAGAGATTCTTAATTTAGTACTTCTTAAACATGTAATTTTTATTTTTGCTGATTATTTTTAAAATTATTTTAACTAAGTACCAATACATTGTAGCAAAATTGACGAGTAATGGTCTTAAAAGCAACTTAACATTCCCCCCCTGAAAAATGCAAATCAATACATTAAAAAATTCAACAAAAACATACTTAAAACATTTTAGTTAAATATCTTTAGTAAAAGAAACTAACCTAGCTTTATATCTCCTTCATCAGATAGAAGTATATTAGCACCTTTGATATCTCTGTGCATCATACCAAGGGAATGAAGATACTCAAGACCCTTTAGAGTTTCTCTGCATGCATATGCAATTTGAAGCTCAGTCAAAGGGCCAGTAACTACAAATAAAAATAAAAAATAAGCAAGGAAAAAAAAACTTTAAATAATTCATTAATCAAAGAATGATAATACAAATGTTTTGAAATGGTGAACACATTGGCATCATATTACTGTTTTAATATTTTTACATTACTAAAGAATTTTTAAATTCAGTATAAAAACTGCTCAAATTAAACAATAAATGGAAGGGAAAAAATAGAAATATTATGTTAATGTAATAAATGAAAACAAATTTTTGATAGTTAACTCTTACGTATGACATTTATTACATTAAGTGCTATAGAAAGATTTGTTAAAAATATCTTGATTTAAACAATGTATTTATATTTTATCATAAATATTAACAATCCAATAATTAAATCAAAAATTATTCACTGCAAATAAATTATTTATTTATTTTACAAATGCAAATGTATAAAACTAAGAAGGAAAAAAAGAAAACGAGGTTATTTTACAATAAGATAAAGATAGCTACTTAAAAAGTAGTTTGAACTTTGTAAGTTGTAATGACTAAGTCAAGGGTAAATGCATAGTTATTTACTTAATTACAAAAAAATCCTACTTGTAAACTATTTATTCTATTGATTTGTTTGATGACACGTGTGAAATCAGATTTTCTGTGTAGGCAAACTAACAGATTGTATTTGATGAAAAAACCATTTACGACGAAATAACCGGAACCAGTGTGTCAAAAAGAGGGTAAATGTATCCTTCAAGATTATGATGATATTGCAATAAATAGTATCGTATTAAAAATATTGAGATTTTAAATAATAAGCGAAAATCAGTACTGATAAGCGGCGAAAAATTGTAAAAATAAACGATAAAATTATTACGTCAAATAGTAAACATTCAGGAGCACGATTTAAATTTCCCGTATTATTATTATATCAGGAATTTTAAAAATCACATGAAGACCAACATCAATAACTAACAAAATAAATAAAAGATAAAAACACACTTAGATTTAGCACATAAAGCAATTACTCAAATTAGTAATATTGCATGAAAATATTGGAATTATATAAGCCATGTGGATATCAGTACCAATAACTGTGAAAAAGTCCATAAAAAAGACAGTGTTCTCATTACGTCAAAATTTGACTGAAATGAATTTTGCTTATTATAATTAGTGATGCTCAAAAATATAGAGATTTAAAAAGAAAGCATTGAGAATAGCGGATAAAATAATCGACACAGTGCATGAATTTACAATGTTATCAAAGCAAATAGAGTATGTAAGCCAATATTCGAACTAATTGTTTTAAAATATATAGTAAAAAGCAATTTAGCGACACCTTCCCACTCATCAATTCCATGAAGAAAGGCTTTCCTCATGTCAAGTACTGTGGCATACACGTGATATACAGAAAGACTAAAATTTCTCTATTTATTCAAGGCATAATTTTTAGTACATAATGCTATGATATCACACTATTAATTTGTGCTTTGAAATATAAAACAAAAGGAATTACAAATATTACAGACAAACATAATATGGTTTATACATTTTTATTTAAGTACATGATTATAGTTTATAATTTAATTAATTTGCTTATTACTATTTAACATTATTTTAGAAATACAAATTGATAAAAAGCAGTAAAGAATTCAAGTTTTTACTTTTTACATTTATCACACACAGATATATATGTTAATCTTAATATATCTAATCATATACGAGATAAAAATCTAATAATTGTGTCACAGTTTTCCATTGTCAGTACATCTTTATTGGCTGGAAAATCACAGGGTAGGATCCAGTTTTCTCACATTAATTTCTATATTTGGTTGCCATTAGCATAAAATTAATAAGAGTCATAAAGGTATTGTTCTCCAGTAAAATATTTTTGTATCCCAAATTTAAAGGCATTTACATATAATCTTTATTTTTCAGATTTTTTTTTCTGCAATTATATTTTTAGTTTTGATTGTTTCTTAAATTAAAGAGTTTAAAGAGTTTGCTTCTTTATTTTAATGTAATTTTATGATATTACCTTATTAAGCTACATTCTAAGATAAACTTATTTGAATTGGTGCCTAAATTTATTATAAATTACCGTCAACAAGATTCGTTAAAGGATTTAGAACTTAACGATCAGCTTCATGCACAACGTGATTCATGCACAAATTATAGTTAATATATCAACCTGTTTGTGAACTCACCAAATTTGTTGTAACAATATACCTTTAATTTAGAATGTTATTTTAAAAAATGCTTACTAAGCAAAATTATTTATATTCAGCGTAAAATCATACGATATCTTTCATACTATTTAACCATTAAATTTTACACAAAACTAATATTTAATAAATGAAGGTTGGACATATATAAGTGGGTAATTTCAATTTTCAAAGAAAAATCTGTTTTACGCTATGAAATATCATCAATTCTAGTGAAGTAGTCATCAGGGCTGAAGAGCAGTAGCGAACAAAGGCATAGCCCTTCCGTTAGGTAAATATTTTTGTGCAGAATTTTAAAATGTCATTTGACATAACATTAGCTAGTATGTAAACTAATTTAAAGAAATTATAATTGTTTTGAGTATATCCTTTCGTACACATAACACAATATTTTAAAACTCACTTTGATATATATCTTGCAAGGAACCACCACCACAATACTCCATACAAATCCATAATTTATCTCTCCTGAAATTTTCAAAAAAATAAACTTTTCATACAAAATGCAATACTCAAATAATAAAACAGTAATGATATAATTATAAACATTTACAGATTATTTCATTTCTTCATCTATTTCCCAAAAACTTTGTAAACTATTTTAAACAAAATGTTTAGCACGAAGTAAATGTATTATAAAATATCATTAAACACAATTATTTTTCTGTAATATAATTTATTTATAAGTTTCTTCTAAATTATAAAACATTTAATAATATAGAAAAAGCTTACAAAACTGGATTACAAAAGGAAATACATTCTACCTTGTTTTCTTCTGTCACAATTATCCTAATATCACATTTTCATTATTTAAGTATAAGTTCTGATGATGAGTATCAGGTTTTATTTTACACTAAATTGTCAATTTTTAATTTTTTATAGCTATCTCAAATTATGCTTCCATTTTTTAGGATTATTTTGTTCAATATTTTTACAATATATCTGAAACAATGTATGAAATATTTCCATGGATTATTGTAAAATATTTTTGCATGATTGAATTAAAACAAAAAATTTCAAAAAATATTTTTAATATTCATTAATTTTTAATAAATAATTAAGTACAATTTATTTTAAATTGAAGAGTATTTAAACATACCTCAAATAACTACCAAAGTATGCAACAATATTAGGGTGTCTACATGATTTCATCATCAAAATTTCTTGCTGGATAATAGAAAAATCATCTCCTGTTCAGAAAAAGAAAATTTGCAAATGTTAATTAAGAAAGTGTTCTAATAATGATTAATTCAATATCATAATACTATACTAAGACAGATCAAAGATTAACAATTCTTCAAGGACAGATCATTTATATTTATTAAGGTTAGTCTTAAAACTGATTACAATATGATCATACATTAGTCAGTTTCATTTTATTATTTATAGGAGACTTTGAAATATTATGATTGTTCTTCATTTGACAAAAGAAACAAAAAACTTTATCCCTCATACTGCAAAATATGAAGAAAATTATTTTTCTTTAATCAGGAATTTGAAAGTTTGTGTGTATAAAGTAGAACCCTTAGAATCAGAAAAAAATTTATAATCAATATATTCTATTTAATTTGAAAGTTGCTAAGAAATAAAAAGGTTACATTAAACATTACATTTAATTAAAAATTATATGAACAATTCAGTTGTTTTTTAAAAAAAAGCTATTAAAATATTGCATAAAATATTCTTTAAACATTTCTAGCCTTAACCCTTAGAAAAAAACACCAGTAGTATCATTATTTTTATTATGTACTAGAGCACATATGCTTGCAATGGGCTCCTTTAAAGAATTTCTTTATAAATTACAGTTAATTTAATAATTATAGGCATATTTCAGTTTTTTTTAAATAAATATATTTAATCTGTCAATATAAATTCACCAATTTCATAGTCACTAGTCAAGATTATCAATCTAAGATTATAAATTACATAGAGAATTATCAAAAAACAAATAAAAGATGAATTTTTATAATTTCATATTATTAAATATCCGTTTTTCTGACCCTAGCATGCAAAGCAAAAATACTTTATTCTATGATATTAATTAAAAAAACACATAATAAGTTGAAAATGTTGCATGAAAATAAGAATATATTAAAACAAAGAGTATAATGTGATATTATAAATAATGCTAAATGCTAGTTATATGTATACATCCGCAAAGTTTATAACGAAGAATAAAACAAAGAAAAATAATAGACATATGAAAAAGGGGGGGAAATAATAAGTAAAAAATAACAAACAACAGTTTATTAAAAATAATAATAAATAAAAATATTAAAAAAATTAAAAAAAAAATCATGAAATGTTAATTAAAAAACCGGAAAAAAAANATATATATATATATATGGTATAATGATAATATTTAATTCATAATATCCAAGAAACTCTTATAGTTAGTTATGCTTAAAGACTTCTAAATGTAACTGAAAACAGTCAATTTGAAGATAATTAAATGTTTCTACAACAGAAAAATTTTTGGTACTTTTTGTTTAGCTAGTTGTGGGAAAATTCAACTTATCTTTTCTTTAATTTTCTACTTTTTATTTTATTTAATTGTTTTTAAACTTCCATCTTGTTCAGTGTTTAAAAAAAAAGTTAGCAAAGGTTTAAATTTTTTGGTGACTTTACAATTGCCTGAAGCGAAAAGCAAGCTAACCAATAAGTACTAATTCTTATTTCCACATTCCATATTTTTAAATTCTCTATCTTTTTCTAAGAAAAGCACTAAACAATTACAAAAACGAAGTAATAGTCCTCAATACTCGTTAACTACAGCCGCAATTTGAAATTACACGCATAGAAAATATTATTCATTGCTAAAACCACATTCAATGGCTAGCAATAAATCACAATTTATATACAATAACATTACTTGAAATAGAACAAAATTTTGGGTAAAGCAATGTAAAATGAACCAAAATGAACAAACCTTGTTCCAGTTTAATAATCTTAACAGCAGAAAAAAGTCCATCTTTAACACGTCTGGCCTAAAATGTATATTTTAACAGTTAACAAAATTAATACAACAAAAAACATAAATACATAATGCAAATACTAAAATTATGTTAACCTAATAAAAGAACAATCAAAGAATTAAATCCTGAGCATTAAATTAGAGATATGCTAAAAATTAATACATGTTTATATTTACAGAAATGAAAGACAAAATTTAAAAATGCAAATGATAAGAAATTATTAATGTTATATTAAATTAGAATGAAAGGAATAAAATGATCGAAAATATTAGCTGTGTAATGTACAAATATGAGCATAGAATTAATCAGGAAGATAATATTTACACATCCTAAATATTTACTGCATGACCAAGCGTTAAAATAAGAACTTTACACAAATCGTTATTTAAGTAACTTTTTAAATGAGAATAAATTTTTATGAACGAATATTATATATATATATATTTGATTATAAAACATAGTCCACTAACTTTATAAACATCTCCGTAAGTTCCACTTCCAACTCGCTGCACAAGTTCGTAATCATCTTGAGGATTCCGTCTTGAAATATTTGAATTTGGAGCAACAGCCATAATTTAAATTTACCATAACTTCTGATTTTTGCTTTATTCAAAAGTTATGTAATGAGCACGCGATTTCTTGAATCTCTCATAATATAAAACAACACTGTCTTTCAATGCAAAACACAAACAAAAAAAAATTTATATTTTGGGGCAGATTGCAGACGCACATAAAAATAAGATATAAAACTAACGGTCACGATTATTAAGAAACAGCTGCCGATGTCATAATATTTCTATCATTTTACAAAACAATCATTCGTTACGCATGGTTGATATTTTAGCATGCTCCAGATGTTTTCGATAGCCAATGCGATGTCCAACATTTTTTAAATGGAAAAGCAAAGCCTGTGACGTTTTTAGACATTTGTAGCCGAAACAGACATGAAACCGAAATAAACATATAAAACATACATAATGAAATGAAAACGCTTTGTAATATCAGATTATTAATCATTTATGTATTAGTTTTAAGTACTTTTCCCTGTTATAACAATTTAAAAAAACGTAAAACTTTTCTGTGCATGAACGAAATTGCCTTTCGGTACATGAGTTCGAATCCGAAGCATTATTTTTCGCATTTATTAAATAAAAATATTTATTATGTTATATTGATTTTCAAAACATGCACTACGAGCACTTTTAAAAGTCTTTGAATTCTTTAATAGTGCATTTTAATTAAATTTAACTCATTATAACAATTAAAGAGAGCACACTCCTAAAAAGACCCAACCAATTTTTAAAGTTGGGTTTTATTTTAATTTATGGTTAAGCTGAGCAAAAAGAGACAGTTTAAAACGTTTTGCATATTAGACTTATGACATTTGAAATCTGGCATCAAAACAAGAACAGTAAAAATTGCTTATTTTTTGCCGAGTTCTTTGATTAGCCCCAGGCAGTACTCCAGGTATAAATTTAAAATTATTATTTAAGAGGATTATAAGGCCTTAAATGTATTGCAATTTCACAGTAATTTTATCGATGTTTATTGCTTTTTTGATTTTTTTTAATTTGCTGTTATTTTACAAATTTATTATTAAGTGATCTGTATCGGTTTCCTTTTACTGTTTCCCTCTTAAGCACTGATTATTGATGTTAAAGTGAACTTTCCATTTTATGACGTGGAAAAGTATTTTTAGTTCTTATACCCAAATTAAAGTACACTTTTTCATTGAAGAAATGGGGAAGGAAATATTATTTATTTAAATTGTTGCGTAACATACGTGTCAGATGTATATTAGCAGCATAATCCTTTAACTTATACTGCTAGAAAAATTGATTGAATTCGTATTGTAATTCTAAAACAGAAACTATGATAATAAATTTTAACTAAAATACTATATTATGTGTTAACATATGGATTACCATGTTCATTAAGCGTTTAGAAACATTACAGTGTATTTTCTTTTCTTAAATAACCCTCGATTTATCTAATTGTTGTAATTGATTAATTCTTAACTTAGTATAAAAGTTATAAAAAAATTTTTACCTCTTGCACTTTATAATGTAATAGATTAAGTTTTCATAGAAATTAGCATCTAACATATTTTATTCCATGACATAAAAATATTCATCAAATTTTCCTATTGGTATGATAAACTCTAACTATTAGAGTAAAAAGAAACATTAATTATAGCTATAAATTTTTAAATAAATTAACTCATTATGTTGTAACATATGGCTTGCGATGTTATTTGATTTTATCACATGTGGATTAATGATACAAAGTTTGAGTGTTCATATAAATTAAAATTCCTGTTTTATGCACCAACTGACAAAATTGGAATTATCATATTTTTCTTTATCTTAGTTTTTTATTTCAACATATGGATTGTAAAGCAATTAGAAAAAGTGATAGAATTTTGAATAAATTCATTATTCCATCAAGTTGTAGCTTGAAAATTGCTATCTTCTTTTTAAAAAATTTTTTTTTAAAGAAATTATCATCTGTGCAGCAAAAAATCCGGATTTCCAGATTTTTCGCTAACCGTAATCCGGAAGTTTCTGGAGATCGAAGGTTCAGAGGTTTCAAAAAATCATTGATCACAAAAGTTTCCAGAAATCAAAATTTCAAAGGTGGAACTTAAAAACACAGTTTATTTTATTTGTTTGTAAGGAGAGCTACTTTATAAGCTTATATTCAAGATTAATATTCATTTTTTATCAGTAAATAGTTATTGTAATCATAAGCTCAAAAAAGAAAGACATATTTGTAAATTTCAATTACTTCTCCAGGTCATTAAAGGTATGTGTAAATGGTATAGGTATGTGTAAAATTTGAAATATATTTTAAGAAAACTAAGAAATATTGAGAAAAAGGAAAAAACCTTGTTCAATTTTTTTTTTTTAATTTTTCGATTTAAACTTTTTTTATTTTTTATTTAAGAAATTTTCCGGAATTTTGACTTGGACTCACAATCACTCCTGATCTATGGTAATTGATTTAATCACTTATGTGTGGATTATGTGTAGATCACAATTGTGAATATTTGTGTAATATAGATTTTTCTTATGTTATCTATTAACTGACTTTCAGAATTGCAATTTTTATATTATCCTAGAACGTGTATAGTCTATCATTGTTATTTTATGCTCCCCTGCATGAAGTGTTATATATATGTGTGTGTGTGTGTGTGTGTGTGTGTGTGTTTGTTTGTTTGTTTGTTTGTTTGTTTGTTTTGCAGTCTATAGATTGTTATCTATGTAATATTTAAATAATAATAATTTCTCATGCATTTTATTATAGGCATGAAAAAATGTAATGAAACATGGATTGAAATGTTGATATATTTTTTGTGTTTGGTACTTGCTGATTAGTTTTGCCAAATCATCCTAATATAAGAACTTTATGTTTACATAATGGCTCATTAAAAATTTATCTGAAACTGTCATTGCTAAAGATTGTCATTGTTATTAAATGGAACCCTAAGGTCCCCCTAAGGGGCATCGCAAAAGTGACCTTATAAGCGGGGTGACCTTTTAACCGATTCATTAGCAGTTCGTAACTAAGCACGTAAATAGTACGCATTAAGATTTTTTAAAAATGTTAATGCAAACGAAAACGATCAGCCATATATTAAATGTTTAAGTCAATAAATTTTAACAGAATTAGTAAAGAATTAGAGAAAGTTAGATTTTTAAAAAAAATTTAATTTACAATAAAGCTGTTTACAAATTTCCTCAAAATGCACATACATACATTACATCTTACCTAATTTAAAATAATCATTTATGCAGGTCTGCCTTGTTTTTGGTTTCATTTTTTGAACAATGTTTTCTAGATTTTGTAACCTCTCAAAATGTTACTCAGCTCCCTCATGGCTTGTAAAAAAATTTCGTATCACATTTATCGCATTGGAGGTTTCCACATGGGTTACAGCTACAGTCTCAGGATCACTGTCATTGTCCACAACTTGTGAAACAATTTCAGAAATTGTAGCTTGTTCGTTGGCTGCAACATTATCCTAGAACTCGAGAGGGGTAATTACCTTGTAAGGAAGTTAAATAGGCTTTTGCTAGAAAAGAGCTTCCCTCGCCTCAGATAAAAATGACCTTATAAGCGATAATGATTTTTAAAACTTGACCATATATCCGATATTTTGTAACAAAGAATTCCTATTCAGTGAGCCGGGACTTAGGAAAAGTGACCATATATGCGGGGTGACCATATATGCGGGGTGACCTTATATGCGGATGACCTTATATGCGGATGACCTTATATCGAGGTCTGACTGTAATTTGCTTATTATCTATGATATTTTTCTTTTTATAGTAAAACAAAATTCGAATTTTTAACTTATCTCTGTTTTTCCTTTCTTATAAAATTTATGTTATGATACTTTGTTTTGTTTTTTATATTCATTTGTACAGTTCTTTGAATACTTTTGATGTCACTTCGCAAAGCTTTGAGGTGGGGTTTTGGTCTTGGAGTTGCTGGTTTCACAGTTGCAGCATTACACAAAAATAGATGGGAACTTTCAACATTAGGATTTATCCGTTTTGGTCGTGCGGCTGTAACGGTACTATATATAATATTATGCTGATTTTTTAAATTTCTAGTTATTTGTATTCATTAGTTTTAGTATAATAATATTATTTCAGGTTGGAAAAATAGCAGTAGATTACAAAATATCTCTAAAAGGGTTAGATGTGTCAAGTGAAGAATATCAACTGTTAAAGTCTGAAGTAATATTACTTTTGGTATTTGACATAAAATCATTATTAGATATAATGCCATTATGATACTAATAATATTATTTGTATAAAATGTTCTAAGATATAGCTCAAAATTATTGCTGGTCTATTCACCTGGGAGCACTAAACTTTTACTCAGACCACCATGAAATAATAATCTGTGGCTTCTCAGACCAGCAATTGGTGTAAAGAGGTGGTATACTGTTTTGGTTTTTTGTTTTACACTTTCGTGTTTTGGTCTGAGTTTCTGTTACAAAATAGCATAGTTTATCATAATTGTGTGCATAAGCATTCTTTGCATTGTAATTTTTCATTTAAACTTATTTTATTAGCTTTTTTTAAACAAAATATTAATCGAAACGAAACATACATGGATTTGTGAAAATTGATATGAACTAGTAATATCTTTTAGCATTGCTCCTAGGATCAATTCTTTCTTTCTTTTAATTTTTACCCTTACTAGTTACTATTAACTAGAATAAGTTGCTAAGCTTCTGAAAAGCAGTATGTCTTTGCCCAGTGAAACATTTAAATCAATTTTATTTCTTAAATATTTTAATTTATTGTCAACAATTTTCATTCGATTAGAATTTATTTGAGTATAAGCTTCCACCAGGGCACAATTTTCTTGACTAGCAAGTAGAAAATTTCTAATAAAATAATCATATGCTAGAAAAAAACACAGTTGAAAAAATTGCTGGTAACCTCCTATGGTCCATTTTCGACTCTTTCCACATGATTTTTCAAATTCTGACATTTTTAATACAGCACTCAAAGTTCAAATTAAAGTTATCAATTCTTGAAATGCTATATACACTTCAATTCCAACATAAATCCACCCAATTGTTTTATCAGCAGTTATTTATCATTTTTTCACCCATATCCTCATAGTTTTTTAAACTCCAGTATTATTAATAAGATGTTATTGAAGCAACCAAATTAAAAATTTAAGTAATCACTTTTTGAAGCAATTGATTCTTGACTATATTCCATCGTTGGTTCACCCATTTCAGTAGTTATTTCTGTTAATTTTTGTTTTACAGCTCTCGAGTTTGAGCACTCTTTTTTTACTCTCAATTTCATAGTGAATTCACCTTGTTTTTCGATAGTTAATTATCACTTTTTTTGGCTGTTTCTACATAGTATTTTTAATTTCTATGTTTTATAACTTATTGCAATGTTTAAATTTCGAATTTGAGTAATCTACTTTTGGTTCACAACTATTTTGTTGCTCATTTATGTTGTTTTCTGACTGTTTCATCTTTACAAATAACAATGGTATTAATAAATGTTATTATGAAACGCAAATTTCAAATTTGAGTAATAACTTTTTCACGAGCCATGCTGTCTTTTCATCATTTACATCAATTTCCAATTGTTGTTTTGACAGTTGTCAAAGTTAATCTTTTTACTGGCCATTTCCACATTGTTTTTTATAATAATCTATGTTTTAAATACAATATAATTACTACCAACAAATTTAAAATCGACATTTAAATAATAAGTTTTTGTTTCGCCAGATTTGCAATTACTTCTTGTAAAGCAGATTTTTAAATTGATTTTTCAGCAGTTATTAAAACCGTTTATGACATAGTTTTAAAAATCTCCATAACTTTAATATATATTTACATTACAATATTTTTTCAAAATGTGAGAATTGTGCACACTTTAAAACCAATTTGTGGATAGCTCAAGTTCATCATAGTAATAATTTTTTTGCTAAAAACATTTGAATATTATAGGGCCCTAAAAAACTGTCTGCAAATTTTTAATACAATAGTTATTTCTTACTATATTCTATTTTGGTTTTGCAGGTTCACTATAGATCAGCCAAACAATTGCTTGATTTATGTTGTAAGAATGGGGGTGCCTTCATCAAAGTTGGACAACATATAGGTGCTTTAAATTATTTGTTACCGCATGAGTATGTATCAACATTAAAGGTTTTACATAACAAGGCTCCCAAAGCAGCTTTGGAGGATGTCTTTTTTGTTTTAAAAGAAGATTTACAAGAAGATGTAAGTTATTGAATTTCTCCTCATCATGTTTTTAAAATATAATTCCTGAAAATTGATCTTTACAAGCATGGTTCTTAGAATGCAAACATGATTACGAAATTCTTTATATTTCTGATTTAGTTATTTTACTATATGACTTATATGTTATGGTACATAGGAATTGGGCATTAATAGATTTCTGTGTTATTGACATTTAAACAAAACACCTGAAACCTCTTCTACTTAAATTCCATATAGATAATGAAAAAGGTAAATAATTTTTTTTTTTGGTCATTAGTTGTGAATAATTGATATTTCTGAAAATATTAATCATTTACTATTGATTCTAATCTGATGAAATATAATTCTAATTCAATATTAATAGTAATCTGATATTATTAATAATAATCTGATTAGATTTTGATGAAATGTGACAAAAATATAAATACAAGTTTGCTCTTTTTGGTTTGAATTCTGAAGAAGAACATAAGTTTAAATTATGTATTATTTCAATTGTTAATTTTTTTTTTATTAAATTGACTTAATATAAAATTATATGTATAAGATTTGCACAACACGTAATTAAACAAATTTATTATGAAATTTGTTAAATTTTGATGGAGTAAATGAGAAATAATTATAAAATGTGAATTCTTAAATATAAGAAATTTGCCTTCATTTTATACCCATTTCTGTTCCCATTTCTTATGTTTCAAAAAAATATGATGTTTATTTTGTTAGTTAAAAAAAAGTATTTAAAAGGCTCGTAGTCTCTAGTTTGCTTTCTCTTATTTAAAATAATTATATTAATATAAATTTTTTATGGTCAAAGTAATTCTTCTAGTATTTTAGCGTTTTTAAATTTTTTCACACGCATTTTTCTTCAAATGTTAAAGTTGAACCAGTTTTCTGTATCTAATTTAAAAATAAATGAACATAGAAATGTGAAAATTGAAAGAAGTGTACATTAAGATGTTATTTTTTGAATGTGGCAAAAAAATTTACATAAATACAAGCCTAAAAATGATGTACTACAAAAAAGCACAATTTACAGAAAAGTTTAAAAAAAATAAATAAAATAAAAAGAACTGATAAAAACTTTATGTGAAAAATTGTAAATGTTATGAAATTGAGTTTTAGAGTTTTTCTCCTAACTACATTACATTGGTGGCGTGACTGCTAAATAAAGTGCTCAACCCTGAAATAAGAAGGGAAGCCCAGATACTGAGTTATATTTGTCCCAGCTTGTGCTATGACCTTGCAAAAAGTCTCAAAGAGTAGTCCTAAGTTTTCTCTATCAAATTTAGGTCAGAAAACTTGACAATTTTTGATGTAAATATTTTCACATTTCATAAAATGCTTGACATGAATAGTGTTTTTGACTGCACACTATTGTCCATCGAAAGGAAATTGACTGAATCACTAAAAAAGCTTTTAATAAAAGATAGCATGTAATAATAAAAATTATAGGCCAAGCATGGACTTGTTACCTGTCTTTCAATGTTCAAGAATATCAGCCATCATGGCAGCAAAAGTTTGATGATCAGGCAAGGTGTCACCTTGGATGGCTGTTTGACCTTTATTGTTTTTGAAAAAGGTACCGTAGTCTTAGTATAGACCTATGTTATTTGATCCCTGTGTTTGCATTTTTAAGGATTCAATTGGTTTTGATTTCATTTGGATTTTCTGGAATATTAGGATGACCAGATTTGGACTCATGGATTGGCCAACCAGTGTCTGAACCTGAATCCAAAAGAGAATGTTGGGGTTACCTTGGCAGACAATTCTCTAGTTGGCATCCTCTTTTTCAGTAGTTACATGTGTTTTAACAATCTGCAATGGCACATTTTATTTCGGCATGGGCTCATACCACTGGTAGAGAACTGGTACCCCAAGTTCGATCTTGGCAGCTGACTAAACAACCAATAGGTATTAGCAGCTGGGTTCAGGTTAAATCTGTTGTGGCTGAAAGTCATGTCATTGGTTATAGTGTTGCTCAGGTGCTGCCCATGGTATCTAACCAGGGTTAGAATTACGCGGCATTACTACCATAGCTGTTAAGAGAGAGAGCCCTGAAAATTGGGACTAAGTGCTTGGCCATGATTGGCTGTGTGCTTTAACAAATGTATTCCATGCCTGCTTTTCTCTCTCCATTAGGTTTTCCTTTCTTTCTTTTTTTTTTTTAAATCAGAAGATGAACTTTTTTTCCAATTTTTTATTTTTCACAGTAAATCACCCATTTAAGGAAATATCTCCAGGGAAAATTTTCTCCAAGGTTTTTGTTTCTTTCTTCAATCATTTTCAAATTAGATATAATGAAAACATTACTTTACTTATTATGTTCAGTACAGAACCCGTTATCCAGAAATCAGAAAACCAAGAAACCGGAACGAAATTCGATAAATTTTCCCACAATGTTTAAAAAAAAAAATTCTTTTTTTCCTCATAAGATTTTAGGATTTTTCTTTCTTTTTGAAAGATGTTTACCTTACCATCATTTTGGAAATAATCATTAGTGTATTACTTCATCGGTTTTTCTTCTTTTTAAGATTATTTCCAGATATATGTTTTTTAGTTGGGTTTAACAATAAAAAAATTCAGAAAACCGGAAAAATCAGTTATCCGGAATAGCGATGGTCCCGATCGTTCCGGATAATCGGTTCCCTACTGTACTTATCTTCTTTTGTCAGAATCATACATTGATATAATTATATTTAAGATTGTTTTAATTATTTTACTTTATATTACAAAAAATAGATTTTAAAATTTTGCTTTTATTAGGCTGATAAAATCTTTAAATCCTTTGAACCTGAACCTTTGGGAGCAGCATCACTTGCACAAGTTCATTTAGCGACATTACAAGATGACACAAAAGTAGCTGTAAAAGTTCAGCATCGAAATGTTCATTCTCATGCAAGAGTTGACATGGCAACTATGGAAGTAGGATTTTTATTTATAAGTTGTGCTTTGTAAACCACTGTAATTAATAAGCCTTAGTTTAAATTATTGATGTTTATCGTACCTCTGGTATGTTAGTCAGATATAAGATGTTACTTTACTTGTTATTTTTAGCATTTAAGTGCTTATAAAAAAAGTTATTATGCTTTCATTTCTTCATTAGAAGAATAGTTAGTTGTTTAGTTCATTTTGACAACTATATTTGTTATTTTATTTTAAAGAGTTATTTAAATAAAGCTATATAGTGGTTTTGTTATTATAATTGATAATGGATGTAACTCAATAATCAAAACTGTTTCACATAAATCTTAATTTTTCCCCTTTGAATTAATTGATATTCTATGGTGAAAAAAATGAAAAATTCTGCAGTTCATTGTATAATTGAAACACCTGACCAATTTTACATACATTAAAAAAAATTCCCAATTAAAGTTCATTCTAAGAATTAATATGATTTATTGATTATATTATGTTGGTTTAAAATATTTAAAAGCTTATTGTATCTATATAAAAGAAGGAAATTGAATATCAAAATATAACTATGTATGTATATCAAATAGCAAGTTAAGATTTAAATCCTATACTGTTATGGCCTTTTAGTATGTTACAGTAGTTAAGGACAATACTTTTTCTTTAATTGTTTTTGCTATATTCTTAAACAGGGATCTGCTTAGAAGAAATTATGGTCCGTTAACGGACTCTTCACAAAATATCTTTTCATAAAAACGGACCCTTCTTGAAATAATTTATCTTTTAATCGTACCCTTCACAGATTTGTTTATCTTCATTATTGTTTTGTTAATCGAATAAACCCTTCCCGAGGGGGGGGGGGAAGAAATATAGTTTGAGACAAACTAACTTTCCCTAAGTTTAAATTCCAAATGTAATATTCTAAGAAAATATTTCTACTTTTACAAACATCATGTCCGCATTCTTATTAATATTAAATCATAATATTTTTATTTTTTTTTTGTGAATAAATAATTGATCAATTTATATTTATTCATGAATTTAATTAATAGAATGTTAGGTAAATAAAAATTAATTTCTGGCAATTTTTTAAATAAAATGTTATAAATTTAAGAATTGTTTAAGTTTACTTAATGCGTAACACATTAAAACTGATACATTACTAAGTTGAGTTATTTAAAATATGGCAATTAAAATTATTAAAAATGTGAGTGATTTTGTTTCCATTATTTGTCCGAAATTAATATTCTGTGTTGAGCAGAATAAGCTAAATACCAAATATTTGTATGTTGCATCTCTAATTTAGAAGCAGCAATTGTTGAGCAGAATCTTGTATCTATTTACAATTTAAAAACTTCTTGAAAAGGTTTTTAGCAATTTTTGCAATAACAAGACCCTATTTGCACAAATTCAGAAAAGTACTACCCTGTTTGAAAGAGTGCGACTTACCTCTTGTTTTATATTCACAAATTGTGAGTAGTTTTTTCACAATTTTACAAAAACAAGACCTTTCCCAAAATGTCTGGACAGACCCCTGATAACCTTTCTCTATTTGAATTGGTATAAATTTTGTAAATGAGTAAAATTTCTTTTCATTTATCTCTTCTGATTGAGTCACACATAGTCTGTTCTTTTGGATCAACTTTTTTTTTAAAGTCCAAAGGGTTATTTTACATAATANAAATTCCAAATGTAGTACTCTAAGAAAATATTTCTACTTTTACAAACATCGTGTGCACATTCTTATTAAATAATATTTTTTTTTTGTAAATAAATAATTGATCAATTTTTATTTATTCATAAATTTAATTACTAGAATATTAGGTAAATAAAAATTAATTTCTGGCAATTTTTTAAATAAAATGTTATAAATGTAACAATTGTTTAAGTTTACTTAATGCGTAACACATTAAAACTGATACATTACTAAGTTGTGTTATTTAAAATATGTCAATTGAAATTATTAAAAGTGTGAGTGATTTTGTTTCCATTATTCGCCCGAAATTAATGTTCTTTGTTGAGCAGAATAAGCTAAATACCAAATATTTGTATGTTGCATCTCTAATTTAGAAGCAGCAATTGTTGAGCAGAATCTTGTATCTATTTACAATTTAAAAACTTCTTGAAAAGGTTTTTAGCAATTTTTGCAATAACAGGACCCTATTTTCACAAATTCACAAAAGCAGGACCCTGGTTGAAAGAATGTGACTTAACATTTATTTTATATTCACAAATTATGAATAGTTTTTTCACAATTTTACAAAAACAGGACCTTTCACAAAATGTCTGGACAGACCCCTGTTAAAGTAAGGATCTCAGTGAAAGAAATACATTTCCCATAAAAAGAATTATAGACTCAACTCTTCTTATGAGAGGGTAAATGAACAAATATGTTAGATATATATGTACATATGTTGAGTACATATGTTGCTTTTGTCTAGAATTTTTATGTTTGGGATTTTTTTTTGTATTATAATTTGTTTCATAAAATTTTATAGTGTTGTAAAACGGTGTCTTAAATAATGCATTTTAAGCATGAATACATCAAAATAACTACTTATGACATTGTGTTTTTTTATTCAATTAAAATCTATAAAATTACTTTTAGTTATTTAAATTGTATGTAAATACCTTAGTAAAGTATTTCAAATTTTATTTATTGATTTATTAGCTGCTGGTAAACATTGTCGACATGATCTTTCCTGAATTTACATTTATGTGGCTTGCTGAAGAAACAAAAAGAAATTTGCCCCTTGAACTAGACTTTATACATGAAGGGCAGAATGCAGAAAGAGTAGGAAAAATGTTCGCTTCTTTTTCGTGGTTAAAGGTAAATATTTACTTTTAATCTTAATAAGATGGGAACCGAATTAAAAAAATTGTTTTCCTCCTCCCACCTTTCTGATATCATCTCTGTTCCTTTGTCAGACTCTTATATCTTTTTGATCTTATAATTTTTAATTATTTTAAAATTTTGTCTCAAGAAGAGTTTAAAATTGTTAGCAAAACAATTGCACGAAATATTTTATGGAAGTTTTTTTTTTTTTTTTACAATGCTACTACACATGTGCAAAATAATAAACACAAGTTCTCAATAACTTTTAATCTGATGATTGTAAATTCAAATACTGATAATCAATCATCTGTTTCTTGGTCTCTTCTTTCTCTTCACTTTTCTAATCTGTTTCTAGGGGTTAGCTTTGAATGCACTAATAATTTGTGCATGCAGTATTCTAAAATATGAAATCAGTCAAAAAAATTGTCTGAATAAATATACCTTTTTCTCAATGTATTTTAATTTGTGACCCTCAAATTAGAAATGGTTTGCCACAATTTGGAAAATATAGTCTAAATTGTTTTGTCAGTAAAGGAGTCGAAAGATTTATAAGTAAATAAAAGGTGAGATAGGATAAAGGATAAATATTTCTACGTTACTTTTCTGTTTTGCTTGATTAATATTTTATTCTTTTTAATCATGATTTATATGTAGCACCTATCAGTTTGTTAGACTGTCAAGTACACATTTAGTAAAAAAAAATCTTTAAAAAAGTATGTAAATTGTTTAAAACCCTTTTTTTATAATTTTAGTTGATAGATTGTGTTTTGAGATGGCAAACTTTGGTACAGATCTTTACAAAATCAACTTTTCGTTGTGCAGTAAATGAGCTTTTTTTTTTTTTAAATTCTGGGAACTTTATTTATTAAACAGTTTGAAGTTTTCAACTAATGATTGGTATAAAATAGTTTAAACTGTTGGTTTTAATTCTTATACTTTGTTGATTGTCCTGTTGATTACACATGTTGACTATAGGTTATAATATTAATAGAATTATTTTAATAAATTTATATTAAATGAACTTGTTTAAATTAATATTGCTTTTATTGATAATCACTAATAATGTAATAAATGAAAAAATATTAAAAATCAGAATTTAAAAGCTATGTAATCTCTATTCCTTGTCACAAACAAATACAAGTCAATTACTTTTATCATAAAATTTTGCTATCTATCGATTGGTTGTACTATAGGAAAAATTAATTTGTGCATTAATATTTTTTATATAAAATTAACTGTAGTTTTAATGGAAGAAAAAAAAACTGTGAGTTATGTACAATTGTTTTTAATGTTTATTATATGACTGCTCATCTTTAGGTACCTAAAATATATTGGAATTTATCAACCAAACGAGTACTAACAATGGAGTATTGTGAAGGTGGTCAAGTTGATGATGAAAAGTACATAAAAAAACATAAAATATCTCCTTCTGAAGTATCCAAAAGGCTTGGAGAACTCTACAGTCAAATGATTTTTGTTCAAGGATATGTTCATTGTGATCCTCATCCTGGGAATATTTTGGTTCAAAAAGATAAAGACTCAAAGGATATGAAAATTGTGCTCTTAGATCATGGTCTTTATGTGGTAATGTTGAGCCTAATATTCTATTTTTATTCCTTGTGTAAAAGTTAGAGTGTTTTTAATTAGTGTTTAGATTTTAAAAAAATGTCTTAAAATTATAGTTTACACATTTGCACATAGTTAACATAGCCTGAATTGCTTTTTTACTCATGTTTGGTGTTTAAATTATTCTTAACTTTGTGTGTTTTTAAGTTTTATTTATTTTAAAAAGTTTATAAAGCTGTCTTAGTTTTGGGAAAAAGGATAATGAACTTACCCATTGTCAATTAATTTAAATTATCATTTATATAT